TTCACAAATCATCTTTCTCAACATGTCTCCTGGGTTCCAGTACATCTTACCTCCCCTAGTCCTTGGGCCTAAAGGTGGAAATGTCTCCTTCACTCTTACTACCTCTGGGTTACTACATATCCATTGTGGTTGCCTTATATTCCATCTCCACCTTTGAAAATGATCTAAACTGATTGTACCATCTGTTTCCTGGTGGGGGTCTGACTGATAGAGCATTGGAGAACAGGAGTGAGAGGGAGAACGTGGACAGGGCAACATGACAGCACCATTTCCAAGGCTCAAAGGGCCACCTTCTGATCACTTCTCAGTAGAAGACAGAGTGAGTGGCTGAGGTGCCCTGTCTATGACCACACTTAGGCCTAGATGGAGGGGTCTGTTCTACTCCTCTTCTGGGTATGCCATCCCACCATGGGGCAAGGAGTTTGTGGGGCCAAGGGGACATGCTGACCTGGAGCCACAGCCCTCTTTCCAGGACCACACTCTCATTCCAACACCCTCGCCTTCCTGCCCAAATGGTCACTTGCAGAGCCTGTGCAGGCCGTTTCCCCAGGTGTGCACCCCTAGGCCCAGCCAAGGAGTGGCCAAGGGCGGATGTTCATGGAGGAGGGGTGGACAGAGCTTGGGTGTGCAGACTGGCTGTCCACTCGCATGCACTGAAGGCTCTTGTGGTGTGGGGTGGAGCCAAGGGTGAGGAAAGCAGGGGACCAGGCTGTGAGCTGTGACCTGCTCTCCCTGTGCCACTGCATTTGAGCACAGAATCCAAGGAGTCAGGGAATTCTAAATGCCAGCCGGCTTTCAGGTTGCTTTGAGGGCACGCTTGTCAGGGCAGGATGATAGAACATACTTATGTCACAGTTTGCTAACTTGACTTATAACCTTTCAGTAAGGATGCAAGGTAGGTAGGCCTCCATGTGTGCTTGTGCCCTGGGACCTGCAAATATTATGAGTGGGGCTGTCCTCAGAGTTGTGCTGTCCCCAGGTGCTCCTATTCAATGGCAGGCAGCCTGTCCTCTTCCTAAAGACTTATAGGGACAGAGAGTCATCCCATTCCTCATTATTCTTGCTTCTCAGGACATTCTCTTCCTTCCTAAGTCCAGTTTCCTTAAGAAACAGGATATGGTGAGTTAGAAAGACCTTTCTGATGACACAGTGATAAGAAACAGGATGTGGTGAGTTAGAAAGATCTTTCTGAGGACACAGTGAGAAACGCTGACAGGGGCTGAGCTTGCAGTTAGAATCCTGGCCTGGGCTTTCCAGCCCACACTAGAAAAGGTCGGGATGGGGTCCTAGGGAGGATGGAGAAGACAGGACAGATGGCTGTGAGTTGGTGACAGTTCCCCTTTCCTGCCATGCCATGCTCACCACAGACGCTGGAGTTGGGATGACTCCCACGAGGGCAGCGTGCTCCAGGACACCTCTGCTGTGCTCAGAGGAGCACGGCAGGAGCGCAGGGAGATGGGCTTCTTCCTGCTGCTCCTCCCAGCTCTCCCAGGGGAGCTCAGATGCAGGCGGCTCTTGGGGATGAGTATTTTCTGAGGCGTGAGCAGCAGGGGCGGGCCCCTCAGCTCCTGGAGCAGGTGGCTGCTTGTTGGTTGGTGCAGGTTCCGTTGGGGGAGACTCTGGCCTGCCTGTTGGCCTGAGGAGGCATCCCTGGAACTGCTGCAAAGAAAGAGGAAGGAAGGAAGGGAATGTGAGTCATCTGGATGAGGACAGAGTAGAGCTGGGGCTGGGTTGAGAGGGGCTGCTCCCCGATTGTGCATCCACTCGCCGTCCTGCTCTTCAGACACAAATGCTGCCTCTTACCCCTAGGAGAGTGTGGGGCTCCTCCCCTAGTCTTCGCTGGTCTAGGGGATGGGCACTTTCTCTTGTGACATGTCCCTTCACTGCTTTTCCCAGCCCCTCCTAGTAGATGATAAGTGCCACTAAGGGCAGAGTCGGGTACCTATTCTAGCCATTTTCCAGTCGTACATTCCTCCTCCCCTGCACACACCATCACCACGAAGCTGTCTTACCATCGAATTAAAGGCATCAATTGGCTGTGGGAGCGAGGTCTGTGCACATTGTCTTACTGTTATTGAGGCAAGTGAAGTCCGGGTAACCCATTGTTGGGCGTAAAAGGGAGAAAGAGAAGTTTCAGGGATGAGCAATGAGGTGGGGCCTGCTGTCTGTGATCTCTGTTCAAGGCCCAGATGCCCGCTGGGAAGCTGGCTGCAGGGGAAGGGAGCAGCGAGGTTGCTGGGGGCAGAACATGAGTGGGGGAGGCCAGGGAGGCTGCTCCAGGGAGTGAAGGCAACCCTCAGTGGGAAGGCTGAGTGTGTGTTAGGGACACTGTGTGGGGGCCCTGGCCCTCTGACAAGGAGCAGCTGGGCTGTAGGGCTGTAAGGTACTGGAAAAATCTGGGGGCAAGAAACTGGTCCTGAATCTCATGTCTGGCTACATCCAGTGCCCTCCTCCTACTCCTTCCAGCCTGAATCAATGAAGCCAAATTGTTAACCTGGCCTCTGGGTGACCCACACTGCCCCCTGGCCAGCTGCTCAGGCCTTGGGGGCCCTAGAGATCAGGGCGTGGTCCATCTTAAGAATATTACCTCTGAAAGCCCCAGTTATTGGGGCACAGAGTGGGGCAGGAAGGTGGCTCCATGTCCCCAGGTCAGCCTTGTCCATAAGCTGCAAGTGCCTCCCCAGCACCAGGCCAGAGAAGTTGGCTCCTCCTCCTGTGTGGGGCCACCTCCCCGGGTAGTACCTGGAGGGTGGAGAGAAGGGGCCTGGTCCTGGGAGAAGCACTTGGGAGCCGGGCATGGATCGTTAGCTTCCCTCCCTCCTGCATGGGCATGAGGGCCCCACAAGACCCACTGCTCTGCCTGCCAAGAGTGTGAACTTCAGCACAGGAAGGGAATAAGGAGGTTGCCCAATCCCACCTCTCCCCACAGTCAGGTCAGGGCCCAGTGGTATTCTGCCCTAACAGGAGGGAGCCCCAGCCTGGGGCTGCTCTACCACAGAGGGAGGGACAGAAGGAAGCAAGGTCTAGCTCCACAGGGTCATGTCCCCGCAGCAACAGCATCCTTCTCTCTGGTCTCCACTTTTATTTATTTGTTTTTTTGGTGAGGAAGATTGGTCCTGAGCTAACACCTGTTGCCAATCTTCCTATTCTTGCTTGAGGAAGAGTGGCCCTGAGCTAATATTTGTGCCCATAGTTCTCCATTTTGTTTTGAAGAAGACTGGCTCTGAGCTAACATCCGTGCCCATCTTCCTCTACTTTATATGTGGGATACCTGCCACAGCATGGCTTGCCAAGTGGTGCCATGTCTGCACCGAGGATCTGAACCAGCGAAACCTGGGCCACTGACGCAGAGTGCATACTGAACTGCTGCGCCACCGGGTGGGCCCCCGTCCTCCATTTTGTATGTGGACACCACCACAGCATGGCTTGATGAGTGGTGTAGGTCCACGCCCAGGATCCAAACATATGAACCAGGCAGCCTAAGCTGAGCATGCTGAACTTAACCACTACACCATTGGGTCAGCCGCTAGTCTCCATGTTCTCTCTCTGCTTGCAGGGATCTGATCCCACAATCCTTGAATCAGATGGGATCATAGCAACTGGACCTCTAGTCTTGGCAGCAGCCAAAGGGGCTCTCCCTTCCTTCCAGCTGCTGTTAATGGACTGACGTGTGCACCCTCGGGGCAGCACCCTGAGCCCTGTTGTGTCAGTGGCCTCGTGTCCACTCCTCATTCTGCACTCTCTCCCTGGGCTTGTTATCATGTCTATGACTTCAGATACCATTTATAGAGTTGAATCTCGAAACTGCTACCTCCAGCCCCCTGCTGGGTGGTCCTCTGTATGTAGGTCTGCCTCCTCGACATCTCCACTTGGGCGTCTCAAAGTCACCTTGAACTCTATGACTGCACTCCTGCTCTTCCACTGCAAACCTGGTCCCTTCCAGTTTTCCTCAATTCAATAAAAGTCCTCACCTTCCATCACATCAAGCAGTCCAGAAACCCCAAGTCACCCCTAATACTTCCTTCTCCCTTACCCCACCCTCATGTCCCTCCATTGTCAAGTTCTGTTGACTTACCTAGTAGTATCTCTTCATTTCCTTGAGTTCTGTCCATCTTCACTGTCACTCTGGTCTGAGCCATCATCTTTCAGCACCCAGACTCCTCCAACATGGTTTCACCATATCCATTCTTCCCCTTCACAGTCTGTTCTCCACACAGCACCCAGAGTGATCTTTTTGGGATCGAAAGTTGTTCATGCCACCTCTCTATGAAAAAACATATCAGTGACTTCCCATTGCTCTTCAGATGAAAGATAAAACTCTTAACATGGCCCACAAGGCCTTGCATGTCTGGCCCCTGCCCCCTTCTCCTGCCTCAGCTTGCATCACTCTCCTCCTCATTCCCTGTACTCCAGTCTTCTTTTAGTTCCTCAAGCATTCCAGCCTCCCTCCTGCCCCAGGGCCTTCACACAAGCTGCTTCTTCTGCCTAAAACATTCTCAACTCATCAAAATATATCAGATCACAGTCATCATTTTCCCAGGGAAGGTCTTTCTGACTTCTTTGACTACATGAAATTCTCTTGTAATAAAGTCTTGCAGCAGCATTCATCTCGCCTCCATAGCACTGATCACAGTTGAAATTATATATTAATCTGTATAAGTCTTGATTAACGTCTGTCTCCCATGCTAGATGATGAGTTCCATGAGGGCAGGGGCCTGTGTGTCTGTTCTTGCTCCTAGGGTGTACTCATCACCTGGCATGATACTCAAAACATACTAAGTGATATTAAGTGCTCTGTAAAGTGTGGAATGGTCGGTGGCTGGGAGACTCAGAGGACCCAAGAAGGAAGGAATGCTCATTAATACATGGGCTGGAAGTAAGCCTCGAAGCTAAAGTTCTGTTTTAGATTTCTGATATAAGTTGATACGGCTTTGTAGATTGAGAACAATATCTTTTCTCTCCTTGCCTTCTCCTTGCAGGATGGACTTGCAGAAGAAGACTTTGACAAAGGCCAAGACTTGGAGCTGGGCTCAGGAAAACAGCATTAGAGGGCTGGGAAGTCACGTGTGATTGGCGACTGTGTGAACTGTGGCCTTGAGGCCCCTGAGACAGCAGACGTCAGATGTCAGGCCCTTCCATTGCTCTCCAGTCCAGCTTGTCCTTCCCCCAACCCTAGGATGTCAGAACCGTGGACAGCACTCAAGCCCAGGCCCAGGAAGATGGGATCTGTTCAGAATTCTGGCGAAGCAGAGGGAGAGTGAATGCCTGTCTCTAGGGAGAGGAGAGCTGGTGTCTATTTCTCCACTGGGCATCACTGCTACCCTTGTTCTCTATCACACAAGCTCTGGCAGGCTGCAAGGCGATAAAGCAAAGGAGGCCCCTCCCTATGCCCCAACTAGGGAACAAGGGAGGGAATTGTGTGGGTCAGCCTGGAGAATGCTGGTTGGGGGCCCAGTCAAGGGTTATAGTCTTCGTGTGCTGTTCACCATGCAGCAACCCCACTTGACCTCGGTGGTAAGGTTAGGGTGGAGGGAAGCTCTGTGACAGAACTCTCTGCTTGAAGCTGTTTCCTGCAGCCAGGACTGTCCCAGCCCCAGTGCTTCCTGTCATACATGCAGCATCCTCTCAAACCTCTGAGCTTGGAGGTGGGGATGACCTCTTCCAAGAAGGAGTGCTGAGGCCCAGTTCCCCTCCCTTCCCTGGGCCCATCCACCCACATGGTCAGCACGGGCCGGTGTGTGCTCAGTGTGCCCACACTTTAGGGCTTTCAGCTTCACAGATCCAAGGTACTTACACAGCACAGGCAGCTGCAGAGCTGCTCCTTGGCACCTTCTCCCAAAGGAACGACACGGCGAAGAATGGATAATGGCACTACTGAGACAGAGGCACTCACTGCTCTGTGGAAGCCATCCTGAGGAGTGACTGGGACAAAAACTGAGAGAGCTGAGGGCAAAGCCCCACACATGGCTCACTTGCATGGAGGGGAGCCCACAACGTGTTGCTGTGCTGCACGCTCACCCTCAGGGGCTCCAGACTGCAGCACCATCCCCCAGGGACAGGCCAACGCTGCACTGCCTGTTAGCTGACATCCCACTCAGCACCAAGAAGGTCACCCCAGAGCCCAAAGAGTGGCCTGAGCCTATCTTAATGATGTGGGAGCTGAAAGGGAAAGGGCAGCAGCCTGGACACTGGGGCTGTTTGGAGTAACCCAGAGGGGCTGGCCAGAATTAAGAGAACTAACGCCAAAAAGAACAAGCCTCCAAAGTTGCAGAAAACATATTTCTCTGCAGAAAACCCCAGGAGTGATTCTAGTACAGAACATCCCAAATGATCCCACTGAAGTCATTCTACAGCTCCCATCACCCCCAAACTGGCACGTAGATCAGTTTCATCTTCCATTGGCCAGGCTTGCAGGTCAGTGAAGCACCTCCCCTGTCTCTATGCCAGGAAACGATTGTGGGAGAAAGTGTGTCATCAAGAGTAAAATCAACAAAAGTGCCACCCACTGGACCACGACAGGTTTCACCCCACAGAACCATCCTTTGAATGGCAACCTGAGCCACTTCAGTGGGGACTCATGGGGGGATCCAGCAGAGAGAGCAGAGTTTAACCTCTCTGAGCCCTCAGCACCACCCCACCTCCAGTTCTTTCAGTTCACAGCCTCCCTCCTATTCCCTCCAGCCTCCTTCCTCCATGAAGCTGTCCCAGGTTGAACAAGATCCAGCATAAACGGCAGCCCTCCCCACAGGACATTATTTTATTCCCTTCAAAAATCATTTTTCTCAGATTCGAGTCATCTCCTTTATTCTCTAAGGTGTCCTATCTGGATTCCCAGAGTGGTGATCGGTCTGGGAGCATATTTTAAGCTAATTATTGGAGGCTTAGTGACAGCTCTGAGTGCTGGCTGCTCATCCTTCACTGCTCAGAAGGAGGATGCTCTGTTGCATTACAGCAACTGACTTTGGGTTCAGGAGGTAACGGGGTCAGGACTTCGCCAGGGGAGGGACACTGTATGAAGGATGGTGGCTGCCACTTCCGAGACAGGAGGGAAGATGAGACCTGAGTCACAGCTCAGTCAGGTTGTCCTGGCCTGGGTCCTGGCTTCTTCCTATGCTTCTGCTTGTGACTTGATCATTTTATGCCAAGACAGTTACTTCTAATTCCCAAGGCTCCTAAGCCATCACTTCTACTTAGGGAGTGTGCTTTAAGCCTAAAAGTTAACATGACCACAAAAAAATACCTAATATTAATGATGCCTTTGGATTTCCACCTGCCCCGCTCCACCATTTCAAGTTTATCCTTCTCCCCCTTCCCCACCCTCCCAACACTCACGCACAGCACCCACTGAATCCCCTCTGGCCAATGAGGGTGTCCTGGCCAGTGAAGTCACTTTTACCAGGCTGTCTTAGAAGAAGTGTGCTTGACCTGGTGGCCCAGGGCTCTCAGACTCGGTCTTAGGATTCTGAGAAAACCCCCAAAATTCTTTAGACTGTTGGTCCAGAGAGTGGACTTGCTCAGGAAATTCATTCACATCTCCTGCAGCAGCCGAGGGGCTTTCAGACCTCTCCAGAACATCAGATGCAGAGCAGATAAAGGTCTAACTCTAGCACTTTCAATACCCTGGGAAAGAAAAGAAACCCAAACCAAAAACAAGACAGTATCAAGAGGAGGGTGTGTAAACTTAAGCAGACGTGCACAAGTTTCCTTCAAAGAAACTTCCATGGGATACTGGACTGACTAGACCTCCGAGTTCAGCGTGGGAAGGTTCTGTCCACCTCACTTTTCAGTTGCCCTGACCGGAAGTTCTCCCGTGCACTCCCCCCTCTCCTGTTCATAGTTTGCAGGGCTGTTTGTGCAATCCTCGCTATCTTCCCTCTCCACAAACCCAAGTTTCCAAGCCTGACTGTGCTGCTGCTTTGATACTCGCAGCTGTATCCCCCTTCCCAGCCTTCTGCACACCTCGATTCAACGCAGAGCAGATCTAAGGGAGGGAAGGAGACGTCAGTGAGGACGGGCCTTTGCGATGGTCCCGTTGATGCCCAGACCAAAAGCCAAGTGACCCTCCTGAGCGCTAAGCTATTTGCACCCACTTTCCTCTGAGATCTCTGGCACCCTCTCTCCCTTCTTTCTCAGCTCTGACGTTTCTTTTTTCTGCCAAGCTGCAAAGCTTATTTAGAACCAATTGTGAAGAAAGGTTTTATTTAACACTCACCTCTCTCCCAGAAGTCTTCCTTTGCCTTTTTCCATGGACTCCTTTTTTGGAAGAAGGGACTTTTGAGGTCCTTGCAAAAGGGATGATGGCAAAGGGAAGGCCCCTGAGTAGCTGCTCTGGAGAGCAGTGAGCTCGTGAGAAACTCAAACCCTCTCTACCGAGCCTTGCGTTAACGATATTTTCTTATTTTCTGGATTCCTGGTGCTCTGGCATTTGGGGCTTGCTGAGCAGGGGAAGAAGGCTTCTCCCAGGGCTGGCCAGTTCCCAGAGGGAGCAAATGACTTCCCTGTGAGGGTGCCTGTTCCACGCAAACCAACCAATCCAGAGCCCATACCTTCAACTACCTCCTTTATCTGGCCAAGTCACTGTCCCCCTGCCCTGATCATCCCAGAGCTGCATACCTGACAACTAGGGACACAGCTAAGCCCCAGAGCCTTCCAGAATTGTTCAAACTCACCAGTCCTCAGCCTGGCCAGCTACTTACCCTGCGTTGCTCATCCCTCCCTGCAGAAACCCCAGTAAATGCTTTTGCCAGTGCTTTCCCCTTGCTCCCTCTTCCTCCTGTCTGACCCTCGTGCCTCTCCGTGTGCCCCGTGTGGCAATGACAGCAGCATCTTCTGCCTTCGGGGTCTGACCAGCAAGTGGTGAGCCTTGTGTTGTCAACCCTGGGCTCAGGCAGAGGAGGCCAGAACCCACCCTGCACTCTCTAGACATCCCCTGTTGTTTTGTGGGCAGAATCTTTGACAGTGGAAGGGAAGGTATTGAAGTCCACCTCTTTCTGCACAAAGACCTGGCCCAAGAGTTCAGAGTCACAAGTTCATGACTGAGACATGCTGAATGAGCTTGGATAGTTTGATTCAATCTTCCTGCTATTCCTGGAGTCCTACTGTGTGTGCCAGACACTGTGTGATCAGGACTGGTGAGCAGTGGGGCTCAGAGGAACCAAACCGTGAAGGACATCGTAGGCCTTGCTAAGGATTAGTTTTACTGTGTCCTCCGGGCATGGTTGAATCTGGAAGAGTTTAAAAAGTACAATGACATGACTAGACTTATGTTTAAGAGTTTATCCAGACTGCTGTGCATACAATCCTAAGGAAGCTGATGCAGAACTGAAAGAGGAGCCATGACGTTGGCTTAGATGAAGTTAACAGATTTGCTACTATTAGAGAGAACTGCACACTCGAGACATATTTAGGAGGTGAACTTGGCAGAGCTTGGGAAGGACTGCATGTGGTGGACCAAGCTCCGGCTTGGGCGTTTGGTGGATGTCGGTGTCGTTCACTGAGAGGAGGAGCGTGGAGCGAGCAGCTGTCCTCCTTCTCTGGGCCTTAGTGTCCTCTCCAGTTCCCTCCGGCTTTCATAATCTAGAATCCTACTTCCCAGAGAGGACATTTCTCTGCAAGAAGGTGGAGGCAATAAAGGGGGAAGGGATGTTTACACTAGTGGACCCTGATTAACCTTTGAACGTCTTGTCAGGCTGGCATTCAGTGAAGGCCTGAGGACACGTGGGTCTTGGTCAGAGCTGAGAAACTACCCATGATGGCCACCTTGTGTGCTCCTGAGGAGAAGCGTCCTTAATATGTAGGCCAAGCTCCATTGCCTCTCAGCCCTGTTAAAAGTGATCAAAGAGAAGATGGATACTGCGTGCAAGAAGTATTTAGGTCACACTCCTATTGAGAGGAATTGAGCAAACAAAAGAGCAGAGGCCAAAACCATTATTCATTTCTTATAAATCTAGTCAAGCAGAATTCCACACATTCTAGATTGTCTTAATCTGTTTGTACTGTTATGATAAAAATGCCTTGGGTCAAGTGGCTTTAACAGTAAACATTTATTTCTCACAGTTCTGGAGGCTCAGAAGTCCAAGATTAAGGTGTTGACAGGTTCACTGTCTGGTGAGGACCTGTTTCCTGGTTCATAGACTTTCTTGCTGTTTCCTCATATGGCAGAAGGAGCGAGGGAGCTCTCTGGGGTCTCTTTTGTAAGGGTATTAATTCCACTTAGGAGGGCTCCACCCTCATGACCTAATCACCTCCCAAAGGCCCCACCTCCAAATAGCATCACATTGGGCATTAGGATTTAACATATGAATCTGGTGGGACACACACATTCAGTCTATAGCATAGATCTCAGAAGGTCTCCGGCCCTAGGCTCCCCCCTCACCCAGCTGCAGCTGGTTCACTAACAGGAGCCGGTGCTTACACTAGAGTGGGGAGGACATGCAGGAGTGGGAGGGTCCTCAGACCTGGGCTCCCACCGACTCCACTGCAGTCAACCCCTGGATAGCAGAGGAGCTGCGATGGAGCCCAGTGCCAGGACAGCACTGGTGGAAGTACAACATTGTAGATAGTGTAACGAAGGGCCACCCTCCATGATAACTGGTCCCTGATTTGAGCATTTGATGGAGGTGGCATGTGGGGAGGACAAACACTGAATCTGTTTCATCCAAGGCCCATGCAACCAGAGTTGCTGCTCCTGGAGAAATTTTCTGGTGATGCAGAGGGTGACCCTCCTTTCTCCTTAAGGCATCCACAACAGGTAGGAAGTTCAATCAAAAAGTGCAGGTGGACAAAGTAAGTTAATTTTTATGCTGAACCTCCATTCTACTGGGATGGTGGATGTTCACCCCTTTCCTGGACTTTGTGGCTAAATTCCAGAGCAGTTGTGTGATGCCAAGGCTTTAGGGAAGACCCCATCTGGCCCTGAGTCACCTGTGCTCACAGGTGTCCCCTGAGGTGTCTATTGTCTGTCTTGTCCACATTCTTCAGTTCGTGTGTGTCCCCACTACGAAGGCCCTTGTCCTTTCTGGCCCATCAGCCATCTTGACCACCTCAGATTCTCTGACTCTGGCTTGAGCACCCAGGAATCATTCGGCTTCTTCAGTGTCCTGGGAGGTGTTGTCTGTGGCCCTGCCACCTGTCATACAGATGGTCCCTCTCTGGCATCTTGTTGGCGTCTTGCTTGCCTCTCCCCCAGAAATTGTGGCAGAGCCAGTGTTCTTGCTTCTCCTTTTTCCCTCACCATTGTCCCCTCAACTACCTGTGGGGTGAAATCCCTCCCTCTATAAACGGTGATATTTTGCCTGAGGAACCTAGCATTGTTATTATTTCCAAAATGTTATTCTTCCTCAGTGTCTTCCTAATAAGTCCTTGTGTCCCCTCGAAGAAGGGGGACACTGGGCTCTACCCAACACAAACTGTGCCTGGCTCTGTGGGTAAGACACTCCTCAGGGTCTCTGAGGATCAGCCAGCAGTCACAGAGTACTGAGCTAAGTTCTCTCCTCCCTCCTGGGCACTGTGCCCATCCCTCCTCCTCCCCTCTCCTACCAGGGGCCCAGCAGAACTTTTCTTGGATCCAGAGAAGCCTCTGAGTGTCTCACTGAGTGGGGGAGCTTTCCCTGTGGTCTTTGCCTTAAAGGCAGCAATAACTGTGGGCTAGCTCCTGCCCCCAATCTCCAGCCTCATCTGCTTCTTCCTCAATCACCGTCCCATCCCTGGGCCTCGGCTGTCTGCCATGGCAGAGGTTAGGGGTCAGCTGGGTCTGGAATCCTGGAGGACCCTCAGGGCTCCTGCTTCTGCTCCCCCTTGTCTCCTGAGACCTTCCCAAGTACACCTCACTTCCACACATTTGGCTGAGAGTTCATGGCTTTATGGGTCAAGACTCCCATGAAATGTCAATCACTCCTCGAAGCACAGCCAACCAAGACACTTACAGGCCCTCAGTTCCTAAGAGCTGTCTTGGAACTACACGTTGTTCCCTCTAGCTTTGCTGTGGGTTCAGAATCCTCCCCTGAATTCAGTTTGCATTAAGTCCAGCCCCTGACTGTTTGGTGAGCACTGGGGCCCTCGGTCTTGGCTGCCTCAGGTAGAGGTGCCCCTGTCTGATGGCCCGTGACACCAGCCAAGTGCCACCAGGGCTGCCAGTTCTGGTAAAAACCTCTCTGCCCTGGAGGCAGACCCCTGGCTGCTGCTTTTGGAACTGCCCCTCTCTCTCCTGGAAGAGGGTCCATTCTTTTAGAAATTCCAAGTCGGGCATAAGGGACGTAAAAATTTCCCTCCGTGCCCTGCTTGTCCAATAGAAGAGCTTGGACACTGAGAGACAGAGACGAGCTGAAGGGTTAGCAGAAGCAGTTAGTTCCATAAGAGCAGAGAACAAAGATTATAAATGGCAAATTGCCTGTTGTGATGTTTTTGTTAAGCAGCCCTGGAGTCAGCCCTGTGCTCTGCAAGGGCCCAGGGAGGAATATCCAGGTGGGGTCCTAGGACTTGGATGCGATGGAACTGACCTGGGGGCTGTGGAAGCAAGACCCGAAACCAGCTTATGGAGAGTCGGGTTGAAAACTACTACTCCAATATAAGCAGGCAGATTCCAAAGTGGGAAGACAGGTTGCCAAATTTAACTGATGCTCCAAGCTGCCCCTTCTCAGCAGAGGATATGAGCATGGATATGTTCCAGTAAAGCTCTGTTTTTAAAAGTAGGCTGTGGGCCAGATTTGACTTGTGAGTCATAGTTTTCCAACCCTTGTTCTAGAAACTGAGATTCAGTTAAGCATGAGTATTGGACTATTTAGACCAGGAAGTCACAAATCAAGAGCCACAATCCATTGAGGCAGTGTTTCCAAGCTGTACATATCAAACTTTGAAGAAAATAATTTTGCAAATCTAAACCTAAAATTCTACAACTCCAATTTCTAGTGAAACAAGCCAGGGCTCTGTAAAGATGTTAGGAAACCCCACTGTCCATGGTTAATGTTGGTTTCTTGACCTTTCAGAACAAGAGTATATGAAATTAGGTAGAGCCATGAGTCACTTAACGATGAGGATATGTTCTGAGAGATGCGTTGTTAGGCGGTGTCGTTGTGAGAACATCACAGAGTGTACTTATACCAACGTAGATGGTATGGCCTCCTGCACACCTAGGCTACATGGTGCTAATCTTATGGGACCACCATTGTATATGTGACCCATCATTAACCAAAAATGTTGTTATGCGATGCATGACTGTTCATTTGAGTGAAGCATCTTATGGACAAATGGGCTTTAAATTGTTCCCCAACAGTTTCTTGTATTGTTTTTGCTACATTTTAGACAATTCTGTTGTGGAAAAATATGTTGAGATGGTTAACATTAGAACAAATGTGTAAGTTATTTTTAATGCTCTACTGTAATCGAATCTAATTAATGCAGTAATCATTGTTACTGAAGGGTAAAACTTAGCAAATATTGTGCAAGTAATTCTAAAAGAAGAACCTGTCTAGGATTGGAGATAAAGTCTAAGTTTGTGGATTGGTGTTTTGGTTGCAAATGACAGAAAACCCAAATCAAATTGGTTTAAGCCAAAAAGAGAATTTACCAGCTGACGTATATGGCTAGATACATGGGATCAAATATCACTGGCACCCAGTCTCTCTCCATCTCTGCTCTGTTCTCCATGTCGACTTCCTTCTCAGGCTCTATACAGTTGTCAGATGACTGCCAGCAGCTATAGAGCAGCATCCTCCAGGTTCAAGTTTATTGAAAAAGAGAGAATGCCTCTCTCCCCAAAGTCCCGGCAGAAGTCTCATTGCACCTCAGTGGCTCTAGTTGGGTCCTGTACCCATTGCTAATCCAACCAAGGCTGTGGCCAGGAGTTTGCGGTGCTCCAGCTGCCCCACCCCCTCCTGCAGGGCAACCACTGGGCAGAGTAAATTTGCATGAAGCACGTAGGCTGGCTGCCGTGGATCAGGATGGTTCCCCGGAGGAAAATGAGGGAAGGCTGAATGGATTATGAATGGCAAAACCAAAAGCTGCACCCACAGTTTAGTTTGACCTACTCTCGAGAAGCTCTGGTGGCCTTCTTCATGCTTGTTGTCAGGCGTGATTTTCCTCATGGCCATGTCTTGGCAAATTCCCTCCTACAACAGCCAACTGCCAATGTATCTGACCCCAGCAGAGAAAAGGTCCAGGTCAAGCCTTCCTGCTTAGCCTACTCCACAGGCAAAGATGGTGCATCCAGTGGGGCCATCATGCATTATATATGGAGAGGCCCAACGCCTTTCTCCTCCCAAAGTGCCTAGAGCCTGAGGAACTGCCTCAAATTTGGGTTTATGTGTGACAATGGAATGGGACATTTGTAATTCCGTCATGTGTTTGAGGAAAGATCACTGGTTCCCAGAGAGACTCCATATTGTTAAAACAAATTCCTCTCATTTCTTGAGCTAATTACCAGAACTAGATTTCTGTAACTCAAAGCACAGAGTCATGAATAATTAACGTGAATGTGTTGGGTGTATATTGAGAACCTGGTGTGTGTATGGGGTGGTGGGATGATTCCAGCTAGGGCAGGAGGGCGAGGCCATCAGCTGGGGCAGAAATACTGTTGGGAGATTTGTTGGGTACCACAGTGGCTTTAGTGTGAGAGATGGTGGCAGAAACCAGGCCAGGCAATGAGTGGAGAGACCACAGTCCGTGGAAATCACTTCTGAGGGGCGGAAGGTGGAGGAAAAGGAGCGGTGCTGGCTTGGCTCCTCATCTGAGCTGCTGAGGGGGTGGGGACTACATGGACAGCAGCAGTGACTGCAGGCCACAGGGCGAGCACAGAAAGGACTTGTGCAGAGAACCATGTGAAACAAAAAGTGTCAGGCCCAGAAGAAAGGACTTGAAGATGAAGAGTGAGGAGGGTTCTGGAACCCAGTGAACAGGCAGCCAAACGAAGTGGGAACAGGAGACCATCTTTGTGATTTACCTCAATTGTGGAGCTAGGCCTGTGGCATCTTTCCTTACACTCTAGGGGAGTTAACTGTCCACCTAAACAGTCGGCGGGGTGGGAGAGAAGGGTGAAGCCAAGAAAGGCAAGACCTTCAGTGTGGGGAGGGCAGCATCTTGGAGAAGGTCCCTTCTTCCCTGTTGCCCCAGAAGTGACAGAGAAAAGAGAAGTCCAACAAGAACCCACCCTTGCCCCTGCCCACAGGTCTGTGGGATGGGGTTGTGGCGGGCAGGACAGGCAGCCCCTGCTCTGATGCCCACCAGCCAGGCCCTCCTGCAGCAGTGAAGCCTGTGCTGCTCGCTGTGGAGATCCTCGTGGATGGTGACACCTGCTATCCATCCACCTTGTACCTTGTGCAGCCCAGGGAACCGCACATTTCGTGTGTTCAGGGGAACCCAACAGACGGAGGAGTCCATGCCCTCCTGGGGCTGAGCAGTCTCACCTTCACTTCCAAGTGACTGTTGAGCCCCTGGGTGCCATTTGTAGAGGACCCACGTTTCCTCTCAGGGGCAGGCTGAGCAAGCCCCTTGGTGTCTACTCTCTCTGGGCCATCTTCCCTGGAGCCTTGTCCTTCCGTTCTCCAGACCCAGAGGGTTTGCAGGTCTCCATCCAGCATCTCCTTGAGCCCCGCGGGCTGTGGAACAAGACTGTCTGGGTTTGAACCTCAGCTCCTGCATTTGCTATGAGCCTCGGGCAAAGAGCTCACCCCATCAACACCTGAGTTTCTTGATCTATAAAATAAGGATGTGGATACTAGTTTGCAGCGAACATTAAATAAGATAATACAAAAAAGGTGCAGCAATTCAACATAGTTAAGCATTTAGTAAAGCTAGGTACTTAGTGACCTTCGACTGTCTTCCGACCTTGGCTTTCTGTCACAGCCCAAATCAAGTCTGTCTTCTCCCTGGTCAAGCATCTCATTGTTGCTTTTCTCAGTGCTCCCTCTTGGACCAACTTCCAATGATGTCTATGTGCGTCCTGCGTGTTTTTTGAACTTTGAGACCCAGCGCCACCCATTCGAGAACATGACACCAACAAGAGTAGCTGGCACTTGGTTTTCTTGGGACTTTGTGGAATAGTGTTTGTCTCGTGTTTTCGAGGAGGGCCTGTCAAGTGCCCTCTGCCGAATGAGGGTAAGACGATGCCTTCCTGGACCCGTCTCTCTAAAAGCTGAGTTGTTAGATGTTTCTGGGTGTTAGGGAGACAAGCACCTAAGAATTAGAAGCATTTTTTCCTCAGTCTCTCACTGAGGCTTTGCTGTACCCTTGAGCCCTAGTGGCTGCTCCCAGGTCAACAGTAATACCCTTTCCCTCATGACTTCATTAATGCATCTCAGGGGCCATGTTGGTTGGGCTGCTTTTGCAGTACTTTCATCGCAGCTCAGCCAGTCACCAGAAATCAGCTTTCGAAACTGAAAAGCCTCTTCAGCCAGAGCCTCCCCCTCACCCCCCTCCTTTCCTGCTCCCGGGAACTCGGCTTCCCGAAAGTGAGCTCCTGCCACACCCTGACAGGCTGTGCCCTGATTTGTTCCTTAGCGTCATGGGGTATCAACTTCTCTGCAATTACCCAAACTTACCAAATTATGACTGGAGAGGGCTGGGGTGGGGCGGTGTGGGTGGCGGGAGTCTGTTGCAGATCCGCAGCTGGAGCCAGGAGGCCCCACCCTCCTCAGAGCCAGGCCAGGGATCCCTGCCTGCCTCTCACTTTTATTATTTTGGCGGGCATTGAGAAGTTAATCTTTCTCTACTGGAGCGGCTTCCCTTTTTTTTCACCCTGGGAGGACGCCAACAGGAGTCCTCCAGTTGCCGTGAAGTCTGCCATGACCAGCTGTGAGCACCCCGACTTCCTGGTGAGTGCTGGTAGAAGAGAGAGGGAAAGAGAAGAGGGGGGCAGGCAGAAAGGGAGAGAGAGGCCCCGAGGGGCCAGCAGGGAGTCCTAAAGCCCCCATTCCTTATTAGTGCTAAGGACCGAGCCTCACAGTCTAGACAAGATTTTAGGTGATTAAACAGGGGTGGCGGCCGCCCTCCCACCTGGTCCCCAGAGGCAGAGATTCCTCCAGGGCTGACCCTGTGGATGAACCACAAGGACTGAGGAAGAGCTGGAGGAGCCCCTTTGCTCTACCTTTGACCTTAGGTTTGTCTCTGTTGAATCCAAATATTTGTTTTCCAGGGTTCTCAGTGTTACAATTTCTTTGCTCAGAAGCCCTTTCTGAACAAAGCAAAGGGAAGGAGAGAGGGAAGCAGAGAGAGAGAACTAATGTTTGCTGACAACCCACATGCCCCAGGCACTTCATGTACTTAGCTTCCTTCCCTCCAAGCCAATGCCACAGGCACCTCTGTTCCCATTTGCCCGATGAGGAACCCGAGGCCCAGAGGAGTAGAGTCACAGTGACCCATTCAGAGGCTCGTGAGCTAGTCCTGGCCCCACCACCTCTCCCACCTCTTTTACCCACCTGAGACTAACAGGGGATCTGAGCAGAGACCCTCTGTTCTTGCCACTCACACCACAGGCAGAAAGAGCCCCTTTGCACTAGGCCAGGGCTGTTGCCCAAATGAGTCCCAGCCAAGGCATCTGCGGGACAGCTGCCCCTTGCACCTGGGCTGGGTCCCCAGAGCTCTCCCCTGGAGCCAGGCTGCCAGACCCTGCCCACTGCTGGTCAGCCATCTGGTAAAGAGGCCCTGGCCATCTCTTCTGGAAAGTTGTGGGAGGCCCCTGAGAACATTCCCCTTTCTTCTCCTCAGCATCCTTTCTGCCACCACCTCATGGAAGCAAAACAAAAACTAAAAGAAAAAAAGTCTTGGGAAATAAGTTGAAGACTCTGTTTTCTGAAGGCTGGGATCTTTGCCACACTTGGGGCTTACCTGCGGCCAGTGGGGAGGGGAGGTCTGGGCCCGGATCCATCTCCTCTTCCATGGAGTCTTCTCTTCATTTTCCTCAAAACCTCGTTTCAGCACTAATCTAGATTAAGAAGTCACGTTTCTGAGATGTTTTTGGTTTTCACATGCATGTTTCTCTGCTAGAACCTTCTGGGGATACAATCACAGGGAAGACAGCTTATGGCCTAGCTAGGGGAAAACAGTGTACACAAAAATTACTTCTGGTACAAGAGAGAAATGGTAAATTACATAACATAGGCAACATGTGTTGGGAGTACTAGGGAGAAAGATGGCGTGGGGGTGCGGGGTCAGGGGAGGTGATGGGGAGGAGGCACTGAGCTCTTGGAGGCAGGGGGTGGGTAGGGGAAGCAGGGCACTGAGTGGGGAGCACAGAGGGAGCAAAGGCTCTGAGGCGGGATCATTGAGGCCACATGTGGCGAAACCTGGACAATCCGATTGGCTAGAGCCTGGTCAACGGGAATGTTAGGAAATGAACCTAGAGGGTCCGGTGGGGGCACAAAGGCTGTGTGGGGTACGGATGGAGTCAGAGGGCAGGGATCCGTCTTCCCCCAGGAACTCCCCCTTCCCACTGCTGCTCTCCCTGCACCAGGGTCTCCTCCTGCTCTGCTCATCTGTCCTGGGAGCTGGAGGGCTGTAGGCACAGGGGACGCACCTGCAGATGACTGCCCTTGACGCCAAAACAGGACGGTTCCTTTCCCCTGTTTACAGTGGGACCTTGGACAAGCCATGAGCCTCACTGAGCCTCACTCTCCCCACCTCTAAATTGGGGCAGATGAGAGGATGCATCGGAAGCTCTTTGTGAACTGTAAAGCTCTATAAAACGCCAAGGCACGGCAGAACTCCTCTTTTGATCAAGTGTTTTGGTGAGATTACAGCTATTTATTGAGCTGATGGACTCACCTCCAAGCCGAAGAAGAGCTGTGGCCTCTCTTCTCATCCCAGTGCTCACTGGCAGGGATTCTGTGTCAAGAATCCACTCTTCCTCCAAAAAGGGGCTTGAAAGCTTCTGTCTGTGGCTGCATGAGTCACAGGCGCAGACTTCTCCCTGCAGGGGATTCTCTGGGAGCAAAGCGCCTCCTAGATTCAGATATGCTCCCGGATGGGACAGCGTCCGCCTCTGTTTGAGAAGGCTGCTCTAATGTCACTTGTTTCTATGTATGTCTTTACTATGCTAATGATTCATCTCTGACCCACATGAATCTTAGTGATCTGTGTACCTGCTTATTTTTTGTTCCATCTCTTTGCATAAGTGACATGAGGTCACCAGGTCTACCAGCCATGGCTGACGGGCTTCCCAGAAGTCACACACACTTGTCAGAAGAGAAGAACCAGCTGTTCTCAAGGAAGACAGGATTTTCCCAGCTCTAAGTTCTAAACAATTTTTTTTGATTTTTTTTTTACGTGGGGTGTTGTGCAAGGTCGCTTTCCCTGATAACTGTTTTAAAGCGGATGCAGGAGTGGTTTCCATAATCTTCAGATGGTCCAATTTGATATCCAGACAGAACTTAGATTATTGAGAGGTCCACAGACTAGGAATAGTCTTGAGTCATTGGCTCCTGTGAGGGCAAAAGACCAGAAGGTCCAGAGCCAACAGTTCTCTCCAGTCAGTGTTTCCCTCCCCGTCACCTTCCTGAGAATTCTGGGAGGTCCTGAGAGAGGATGTGAGGTGAGCTTGTTGGCAGAACACGCACAGCTGTACCAGCCACAGCCCTGTGAGCTCACGCATGGGCGCACACAGCAGGATGCCACATACACTGCACACACTGGAGTCTTCAAGTGTCCTTACAACCATCGCAGATTGAGATGGGGAGACTGGGGCTGGGAGAGGTGAAGTGATGTGCCTTTGGCCTCCAAGCAGGGCGCTGACAGACCATGTCAGCCCAGCTTCAAACTGCATGCTCCATTGATCTGTGTAGCCTACCCAGAATCAGTCAATCGATTGATCGATCAATCTCTCTTTCCTTCTCCCTCTCCTCTTTTCCTCCACCAGTTTTTCCTCTGTTGCCCTCACTGATTCCTCCATACATTTACTAAAACCTCATGACAAGGGCTCAGGGGCCCAGAGTTCCTTCCCTCCTGCACCCTGCAGTCTGTCTTGGGCCCAGCCTTAACCTCCTTCGGCAGAAACAACTTTCCTGTGCAACCCAAGTACCAAGCAGCATCAATACATCCTTCTTCTCAGAAGTCTAGATAGGATAAGCACGATGTTTCAGAAGAGTTCTACCAGTTAGTTAGGTATTTACTTAAAAAAAAAAATCAAAGGCTGGCCCCATGGCCTAGTGGTTCAGTTCACTTGCTCTGCTTTGGTGGCCGAGGGGTTTGCTGGTTCAGGTCCTGGGCACAGTCCTAGCACCACTCCTCAAGCCATGCTGAGGCGGTGTCCCACATAGCAGAACTAGGAGGACCTACAACTAGAATATACAACTATGTACTGGTGGGTTTTGGATAGAAGAAGAAGAAGAAGAAGAAGAAGAAGAAAAGATTGGCAACAGATGTTAGCTCTGGGCCAATCTTTAAAAGAAAATCAGTGAGAAAAACTCTCTATAGTCATTAATTTATACATTCATTCATCTAATTCACCAGTCAACAGAGAGTTGTATGAGTGCTAACTATGTGCTGGGATGGCCATAGAGACTTTATGGGACTTGATGATCTTTTAGACAAGGAAACACGGGGCACTCAGGCCTGTTTTGGGCCAGGGTAAACGTGCTCATGGTTTTGTAGGAGCCCCTGAGGAGGAAAGGGCTACTTTAGTCTGAGGCTGGGCTTGGGCAAGGTCAGGGAAGGCTTCCCGGAGCAGGTGAGGGATGCATACGTCCAGCCATCGCTAAACAGATGAGCAGAAGCAAAACTCTTACATTAATCTTTTAGGACCTAAATGTTGGAAGACTAATGAGCAAACACTGTTCAGAACCGCAGCAAGAAAATGACTTTGCAGAGCTGGGCTGCGGCTGGATCAGTCAGCCCACCATCAGCAGCCTGACCATAGCCCTGGGCTCCCCCGGCTGTTCCGAGGCTCAGAGAGCTAAGCCACGCCCGCTCTGTGGCTAGTGATGCGGGCCCCACAGGTGGCTCTGGGAAGGAATTAGGATCAGTGTTTGCTAATGCTCTAACCTCATGGAGGAGGCCTGAGTTCCTCAGTCTCCACCTAGGAAATGTGGAATTCTACGTCTCTGCCACCTCGTCTACCTGGGATGGTCTACCCGCCCCACCTCCCCATGACAGGCAGCACTGTCCCTAGTTAGGACTTCTGTAGTGGGAACTAGCAAATACTCAAAACAGCAGTTGTTAACTGAGAGCGATCTCACTCCTCCCCTTCGGGGACATTTGCAATGTCCAGAGACATTTTTGGTTGTCACAAGTGTAGGGGAGGAGGTGCCACAGGCATCTAGTGGGGAGAGGCCACAGGTGCTGCTTAACATCCCACAGTGCACAGTCCAGCCCCACCCCCGGACGCATACACACAACACACAAAGAATTACCTCGTCCAAAGTGTCAACAGTGCTAGTGCGAGAAACCCTCTCTTAGAAGATAGTGTTCCCTAGGGACCAGTGCTGTCCTGGAGGTGGTAGGGACAACCACCCAGTTCTTGACCTGGTGGGTTTCTTGCTTCTCTCCACTTCTAAGTAAGTGGAGAAAGCCACTCCTCTCCCATCTCCTTCTTCCACTTCTCCAGAACAGGACCGCTGACCTGTCATGTACCGCAGCCACAGTGCCCAGGGCCCATCATTCTTGTAGCGGTCCACAAAAATGTTTTTACTTCTTTTAAAAGCAGAAGAAAGAAAAGAACTTTTAGATCAAAGAAAGTGTTTCAACATATAATAAAATATTTGTTTTTATACCAATGTAGTCACAAAATATAATATTAAATTTTTTGTGGAAGAAGGATCTCATAGAGTAGCAGTGCTCAGCACCCACGAGGGTCATCATGCAGCCCTGGTTCAGAAGTTTCCTCTGAGTCTTGGCTGAGGTAAAGGGGGATGAGGCATGGAGGTGGGTGTTACTGTTCTTTTCTGGAAGTTTCTCTGTGAGAAGCCCACACCACCCTCAGGGCAGCCCTGGCTCTGCCACTGTGCAGACCCTGCCCTCTGTCGTCTGACTACGGCCTGGGACCCCGCTGGGGCATATTACCTAGGGCTGCCTGATTTTCATGCTGGTGAGCTTGCCACCTTCTGGCCACACCAGAGCCATTGTTCTCATACTCTCGTCACCCACAGCCAGATGCTCAAATGTCAGCCCTAACCACAAATTTAAAGTCTGTGAAACATAAGACTGGAAGCTCATCTTAATTATAACAGCTAATATTATTGGGCAATTACACTGTGCCAGGCACTGGACTTTGTGCTTCTTACACTAATTTTTTCCAGCTTTATTCAGATTTAATTGACAAATAATACTGTGTAAGTTTACAGTGTAAACCATGTGGATTTGATACAGGTATATATTGCAACATGATTCCCACCATAGCATTAGCTAACAACAGCCTCACATCACTGAATGACCATTTCTTTTTTGCAGTGAAAACATTTAAGATCCACTCTCTTAACAACTTTCAAGTATATAATATAATATTATTAGCTATAATCACCAAGCTGTGCATTAGATCCCTAGCTCTTATTTGTCTTATAATATTTGTTTACATTCTTTGACCAATATCTCCTCATTTCTTCACACTCCTATTTAATTTTGTCAACTATCTATGAAGTAGATGTTACAACATTTCTGTTTTATAGATCAGACAATGAGGCTTAGAAATATTAGTAATTTGCCCAAGCCTGGTAAGCTATGCAGCCAATAAGTTGGAGGGGAAAGTTTATAATTTGAAGTTAATTTTGGTTAAACTGGTAGGAATGTAATATTGACCCCAGAGCATTCTGTATGCACTGCACTCATTTACATTTGTGTGTGACATCCATTCATTAAGTCTACACTGAGCACAATGACTGCTCTAGAAGCTGGGACAACAAAGAAGAGTAAGGCACAATCAATGCATTCTAGGAACTCACAGCCCAGCAGAAGAGATGGATAAGGAAACAGTCCATATAGTAACCATCCTGTGATGAGGGCTTTGGCAGATGTGAGCCCAGAGCTGAGGGCAGCTACACCACTCTGGGGCCAGGTTACCCATTTACCTGACTGTGTGGAAGGGAAATCAGCCCATTTTCTGACCTTGGAGTTGGCCCCCATCCCCTTTTGCACATAGTTGCTTCTCTGCCAGGGCTTCGGGCAAGGCATCCACTCCTCTTGCATGGCCCCAGATTCACACAGAGCCCTGTTCAGATGTATAATAAAGAAAATCACTGCTCTTTTGAGTCTGGACCTAGAAATCCCAAGCTGGCCAACAGTTATCCTTGTCTCTTTGCCTCTTTCTTCTGGAAGGCTGTCCATCTGCGTGGTTGAACTCAGGAAGTCCATTTGATTCCTTTGCAAATGCCCACGTGTCCTTCTCTTGTTCTCAGCAGCAGGATGATAACATGTTCAGCTGCCAAGTTGATGGCCGAGGCAAGAAGAAGGATGATCAGCCCGGGAGTCCCAGCAGCAGCCACCTGGCCTATGGCATCTTGGACGTCCCACCATGGTATCTCTGCATCCTCTTGGGGATCCAGGTAATGACACCCAGCAAACACTGGGTCCAAAGAGGCTCTGCCTCAAAAGCCACATCAGTGCACACCCGGGTCAAATCAGTCAAGATCCACAACTTCTTTTGCTGATATTGTTGTCTTCCATGTAACTGAGCTCTAGGGGGGCTCAGAGCTCCTCTGGTCTCTTTCTGTCCAGGAGTTTGGGGGGCAGAGGAGGAATTAGCTAGGAATCTCTCTCATGCTGGGCTGATAGGTCACATCAAGAACACCAACTGGGCCATTGTTTGTTTTTTTAAGAAACTAATTTTAATTTATTTGATTGGCAACAACTAAAAAATTTGTTAACCAATGCTTGGGGAATTTTGGGAAGCGAGCTCTCTTGAACACTTTCGTTGGAGTGTTACTTGCTGCAATCTTTCTGGATGACAATTTGGTGATTTCCATCAACATGTAAAACACATATACCCTTTCGCCCAGTTCCCAATGCTTGAGAACTTCTCTGTGGATGTGCTGACAAGGCTTGTTCAGATCAGTACAAAGAAGTTCTTGTAACATTATTGGTAATAATAAAATCAAAACCACACAACAAACAAACCAACCTTAGAAACAATGAAAATATCCATCACAGGGAACAGGTTAAATAAATTGTGACACAGACTAACAAAGAACATTTATATGCAGCTGTTAAAAAGAGAAGGATAGGGGCCAGCTCAGTGGTTCAGCAGTTAAGTTTGAATGTTCCACTTCGGCGGCCCAGGTTTCGCCGTTCGGATCCCAGGTGTGGACATGGGGCCGCTTGGCATGCCATACTGTGGTAGGTGTCCCACATAGAAAGTAGAGGAAGATGGGCACGGATGTCAGCTCAGGGCCACTCTTCCTCAGTAAAAAGAGGAGGATTGGCAGCAGATCTTAGCTCAGGGCTAATCTTCCTCAAAAAAAAAAAAAAAAAAAAAGAAAAAGAGAAGGATATATTTACTGTGCAGTTAGGGAATGTTCCCCAAGATATGTTAATGAAAAATCACAGTAGATAACTGTGTATTGTGTGATCTTTTTTTGTGTTAAAAACAAACAAAAAAGAAATAAAATGGTAGAAATAAGTATATGTAGTAACTTCACATGTTTTGAATGGTTCACAAGAAACTAATAAAGCTATTTAGCCTTGGGAAGAGCAACTAGGAAAGGCAGGGTAGCTTTCAACTTTCATTTTTTTTTTATTGAGTAACCTTTTATAGCATGAATTTTCTAATTTCATAGATGTGTTTCTTTACTATTACAGATGGTTCAATATGGGATTGCAGGGATGTGATACACATTTTTATTTGCTTCTTTGTACTTTTCCATAAAATAAGAACAATGTCATACCATTTTAAAAATATTATGATGAGCCAATAAAATGGATATTGTAGATATTTTATCATGAAAAGATGCTGAATCTTGTCAAATGCTTTTTCTGCATCTTTTGAGATGATCATATGATTTTTATCTTTCATTTTATTAATATGTTGTATTATATTTACTCATTTGTCTATGTTGAACCATCTTTGCATTCCAGGGATGAATCCCACTTGATCGTGGTCTATGATCCATTTAATGTACTGCTGAATTCAGCTTGCTACTATTTTGTTGAGAATTTTTGCATCTCTATTCATCAGGGATATTGGTCTGTATCGTTCTTTTCTTGTAGTGTCCTTATCTGGCTTTGGTATCAGGGTTATTCTGGTCTCATAAAATGAGTTTGGGTGTGTCCCCTCCTCTTCAATTTTTGGAAGAGTTTGAGTATTGGTGTTAATTCTTCTTCAGTGTTTCATGGAATTCACCAGTGAAACCATCTGGTCCTGGCATTTTCTTTGTTGGGATGGTTTGGATTACTGATTCAAGATCCTTGCTTGTTGTTGCTCTGTTCACATTTTCTGTTTCTTTATGATTCAGTCTTCATAAGTTATATGTTTCTAGGAAGTTATCCATTTCTTCTAGGTTATTCAATTTGTTGGCGTATAATTGTTCATACTAGTGTCTTATGGTTCTTTGTGTTTCTCTTGTATCAGTTGTAATGGCTCCTCTTTCATTTCTGATTTTGTGGGTCTTTTTTTTTTTTTTTTTTTTTTGCTTAGTCTAGCTAAGGGTTTATCTTTTTGATCTTTTCTATTGTTTTTCTTGTCTCTGTTTCACTTGTTTCTGCTCTGATCTTTGTTATTTCCTTTCTTCTGCTAACTTTGGGTTTAGCTTGTTCTTCTTTTTCTAGTTCCTTGAGGAGTAAAGTTAGATTGTTTATTTAAGAGCTTTCTTCTTTCTTAATGTAGGCATTGGTTACTATAAAATTCCCTTTTAGAACAGCTTTTGCTGCATGCCGTAAGTTTTGGTATGTTACGTTTGCATTTTCATTTGTCTCAAGATATTTTTTAATTTCTTCTTTGACTCATTGGTCGTTCAGAAGCCTGTTGCTTAATTTCCACAAATTTGTGAATTTTTCAGTTTTCCTCTCGTTATTGATTCCCAGTTTCATACAACTTTAGTTGGAAAAGATACTTGGTATGACTTCAATCTTCTTAAGTTGGCTAAAGCTGTTTTGTGACTTAATACATGATCTATCCTGGAGAACATGCTTAGGCCTTCCTGGTCAATGGTCTTGCCCTCACCTTGTGCCTTGTTTTAATAATGAGCCTCTTGCCTTGTTCTTATTCTTGTGGCCCTCTCCTTGGTTCTTGTTATGTCCACATAAGCTCTGTTTCTACTTTGGTTTCTTAGCCAGGATATCTCTTCCCTGCACTTAGATCCTACCCGGGGTTTGCCCTGGAATCCCAGACTCTGTAGCTAGATCCCTGCTTCTTGCTGCCAGGCCTTCCTAGTTTCTATTGTTTGTCTGGATCTGTGCCTATCATTCATGGCCAGGTTCCCTCTGAGACTGGAGTTGGAGCTCTTGGCTCTGGCAGTGAGAATGGAAATGAGGGTGGTTCAGGAAGCCACAGCATCTACACACCCATCTACTCTCTCTGCTCTGCCCACAGCACTTCCTTACAGCCCTGGGGGGGCTCGTGGCAGTGCCGCTCATTCTGGCCAAGGAACTGTGTCTGCAGCATGACCCCCTGACCCAGAGCTACCTCATCAGCACCATCTTCTTTGCCTCTGGCATCTGTACTCTCCTGCAAGTCTTTTTCGGAGTCAGGTAAGTAAAATCCTCCCCATGGGTTCAGACTTTTACCTGCAAGGGTATTGGCATGTCTTGCTTGGCTTGTGGCAGGACAGGCAGTTAGGAAGCTGGTGTGACATGGTAGAAGGAGCACAGAGCCAGGAGTCAAGCCTGGGTTCAAGTCCTAGATTCAACACTTACTCTTCATAATAGTTAGGAATCTTGATTAAGTAACACAAACCCAGATTAACCGAGGTAAAATTTGCTCTTTATTAACTTATCAGATCAAGCCAAGAGAAAGGCAGGGCGCATTTTGCATCAGGAACATGTTGAACCAGGGAGTCAATGCGACTGGGACTTTCTCTCCTTGTCTTGTCTCTACTCAGGTCTGCCCATAATATTTGTGAGACCCAGGGCAAGAGTACAAATGCAGACCCACACACTCCATGTCTAAATATCAGAGAGTTATAGACCAAACTTACAAACTCCTAAATAAAATATGTTCTGATCATCCCACCTGGAAGGCCAGGTTTGAATTAGAATTCTCTGATTCCTTCAAGTTCTGCTTTGGAAACTTACAGCATGGGGAGGGCTGGCTCCAAGCCTGGGGGCTTCTCCCTTCTCTTCCCACCACAAGCTTTGCTCCAGATCACAAATGGTCTCACATGCGTGAATGTGGACACCTCAACCTGAACACCCTAGTTCCATCCACACCCCCTCCCACCTCCGGATTCCCCAAACAGCTGCCCCCTGGCCATCCTTCAGGCCTAGGGGTTTGCATACCAGCATCATGGTCAGCCTTCAGCAGGACAGACCTGGGGAAGAGGCCCAAGCAGGCTCTGGAAGAGGTTTAAGGCCATTTGAGCAGAGAATTCTTGGGACTAAAAGAAGAGGGGCACATAGACTTGATGTGGGTCCCTTGGCCCTGCAGACGCCTCCCCAGAGGAGGCCAGAGTAGAGGCCTCTAGAGCATCAGGCTAAGTGCAGGGGGCTCTCCCTTCCTAGTCTGAAGACAAGACTGTCTCTTCATTACTCTGCCAGTGCCTGTGCTTCATTCTCGCAGACATGCTTCCTGCATGTGTCCACAGACAGGGCTGCTGGCAGGCCTCACACTAACCCCTCAAAAGCAGGTCAGTACCGCTCTGGCTGTCCTCACATTTTAAAATTCCAGGGGAGAGCTCTGACTGGCCCAGTTTAAGCCACATGCCCAGCCCTGGACCCCCCAGGGCAACAAATATGGCAATTCCCATTTGGGCAGCTTTCCAAATGAAGCGAGAAAGACGATGTCTGTTCTGAGTAGACAATAGAGCAGATGTTCGCTGAACCAGATATGTGCTCTGGGATCTGTCAGGTGAGGCTCATGATAATATGTGCCTGCTCCCTTACAGTGTCATCGAGATAATCAATTGTTATAATCAGTGGAATTATCTTTTTTTCCTTAAACCATCAAGTCTTTTTTGTTCATATGTAGGCTCATAAAATTAGCCTGAGTAAAATGGAGTCCTATTGCTCTGGAGCTGGCCTGGACAAAACTGTGAATGCAGCCTGGAAAACATGTCTTTAGAACATTCCCTCCTCATTTCCACACATCCGGTCTTCACTTTCTCCACCACCACCCCCGGCCCCACCTGGATTGCACACCACACAGTGGCTCCCTTGGGTCACCACCTCCTCAGGAAAGTCTTCTCTGTGGGTCCTCCAGACCTTTCCTGCTCACCTCCCTCACCCCACATCTGTCAGTCCTGTATCTTCTCCCTCTCACATTTATTTAGCATCCAATCCAAGGACAGACCCAGGTTTTGTTCAGATTAAAGCTTGTACAGTTTTTGGTGTCCCCTTTAAGAAGACAACACAAAATTATGAACATATATCATGTACAGAAGAGAATAGTATTAAATTCAAAAAAAGTCAAAACAAATACAAATTTTTAAAAGCAGATAAACACCATAAATTTCAAAACATAGCAAGGTATTTTTTATTCTTTAACTTTCTGATAAGCCCCTGTAATACAGTTTTCGTCACATTTTATGGTTGCATACCCTTCAGTCCCCTCTTCATTTCACAGAGAGAAGGAAACATAATTCAGTCATTCCTCTAGCAGGAGTCAGTCCAAATCTGTTTGTTATGACTGCTAGTTGGGACGCATTATCATGCCTTCACATGCAAACTTTAGTACTGCTGTAGCTTTGTGCCTCAAAACACAGGAATTCTGACCAATTCTATGGCACATGATTCCTATCAATGTTTTATAAATGCACGGTGCGTTTATCATTGTATATGCTGCGTTAATAAGCATATTCCCAACAGGAGAAAACTTCCATTTTGCCTGCACGTCAATGAGAACCAGACCTTCTCCAGTAATTTGGCGTAGCTGCTGGTTGGCCAATTTGCCACAGACTAGCTTCTGAATGCATACATTAAAACCTTGTTTCTCATCTACCACCCACATGTGTCAAGTGGCAGGTGCTGTGGGGCACATTCATACCATAATGTGGCCTCTAGTCCTGCACCTTCATGACATAGAATGGGCTGGCACAGTGGGCTGTAGAGTGTTGCTAGAAACCATGAACACTCCAACATGGCTAGCAACGCATTAACTACACCTGGGTAGTTTAGTGGTCTCAAACCACAAAATATATCCTACTACATTCAAACTAAATTTATCCTGACTCAACTCCCCCTTAGCCAGATCTTAAAAGTGTCCATGGCCTTTCAAATGCCATCTGGCGCAAGGGTTGGAGTTAGGGAGGTGGCGGTGGAAGGAGACGGTAGTTACAGACAATTGTGGCTGAAACCTTTTACTTTCGCAAATTTTATGAAGGTGTATGGCTAGTGGGCTGGGCTTTAGAAGGAGCCATGCAAGTGAGGGGCCCATCACTGTGAATCTGCTTTGACCTAATCTGTGCCAGGCCTGTGCTCAGCCCTGGAGCTGCAGAGGAACATGGAAAACCTTCCCTGCAGTGTGCTTCTGCCTGACCTGTCTTAAGAGGAAATGACTGGACACGAAAAATTAATACCCATTTATTCCTTATCAGTTATCTGAATCAAGCCCCACAGGTGTAGGCTGATACGGGGTTGGCCCATTGTTTCCAGGACAGGCTGACTGCAGGCAGCATCCAGAGGAGAATATTCCTTCCTACCGTGGTCTTTTGCTAAATCAAGTCAAGGGCACTTTCCACAGTGCTTCCTTTGCAAGTCATGTCCAGGAGCTATGCCAGTGCTGAAGTTCTCCCATTCTCCGCTAAGGAGTGCCTACATCTTTGGCAGGTTATTTCCTTTCTCCCTCTATCTTCTCTTGTCACCATCGCTGTGAGCCAAGATTTCTTCCAAATTCCCTATCAAGAACTGAAAGAGGTACAGGGTACCTGGCCATCAGACACATCAGAGGAGGGAGAAGGGTTGATGAGTCCCAAAGAGGGGGCTGGTGCTTCTGCTTCCTGTGGGTTTGAGTTGGGCGGTGATCCACAGGGAAGGTGCACGATGGGCTTTCCCGCAATTTAGCAGGTCCTTACCTGCTTGGTGTAGGGAGCCCAGTAAAAAGATGAACAAAGTCTTCTTCATCTAAGAGTGAAGTAGTTGGGGCTCTTGGGGTGCCCAGGATTTCTCACAATGCAGTGACTCTTATAAATTCAAGAAGAATTCATCAGTCCCCTCCTACATTCTTGAGGCTCTGCTCCCCATCCTGACCTATTTCAAAGAAAAGTCCCTCGACATTCTCTTTTGCCCACTCATTGGATTGGCTCCAAGAAGGGGACATCAGAATGATGTCACAGGTGGGGTTGGATTCCAGTGACTCAAGCTCCAGATGCCTCTGTTCCCAACTGTGGACATCTTTCCCGTTTACCCATTGGCCCCTCAAACTCCACATGGTTCAACCTCAAACCTCCTTGGGGTTCCTGGTTCCTGTTCCTCCTCTTCCTTCTAGGTTCCTAGATGTGCAGGACATACTGCCCTGCCCAGTGGGGACTTAGTGCTCCCTCTCCTTTCTACCCCTGACAATATTTGCATTTCTTTTCTCTTGGAGTTCTCACATTTCTGTGAAAAGGAAGTGTTTTTTAATTTTTCCAAAGTCTTGAGAATTAAATTAGATAATGCATGTAAAGTGCTTAACTCAGTAAAAAAAAAAATCTATTTTTCACACCAAGGAAAGGATTGTACCATACAGGCAATTTTGCACCCTCCCTTCCTTTTTTAATAATTAAAAAAATGTAATTTGGGTAAAAACACTCCACCCCCTTTTATAAACATATGCAATGCATTGTACATATCTTTCAGTTTCAATAAACACACTTACACAATAGCACTTTTTAAAAAATGTCCACTTAGTCTTCTAAATTCTAGAATATATAAATATATTCTAGCCTACTTAACTATTTCTTATTAAAGGACATATAAGTTTTTTTGAGCTTTTCATTATTGTAATAGTGACCAATGTAATTCGTAATTGTGAGAAGTATAAATTTTGTGTGTATTGATAATCATTTATCTAGTTAAAGACAGAATAAAGACTGGAAGAAATGTTAAAGGTTATTCTGGGTGATATACATTATATATGAAAGGTACATATTATATGTGTGCTGATAAAGCTTATCTAGTTAAAGATAAGAAAAGACTGAAAAAAATGTTAATGATTATTTCTGGGTTGTAGAATTAGGTGACAAATTTATTCTTTCTATTTCTCTTTACTTTCCATTCATTTTTCTTCAAAGTTCATCTGTTACTTATAACTGGGAAAAATAAAAACCACTTACAATGTTTTTTTAGAAAAGTATCAGGGTGTGTTTCACGAGCCACAGCTTTGAATCTGTGCCTGAGAGGAAAAGTCCAGAAGGCTGCCCATTATCATCTTGGAAGGGAAGCAAGGAGCTATGGAGCAAGACCCCCGCCTTGAGACAACTTCTGACAATCTTTGTCACCTCACCTGCTTTTATCTTTGTTTCCCCAATCTGTTTCCCTGTGATGATCAGTATTAAAGCCCATAAAAACAAGAGAAGGCAGGTGTGCATGTCTTCGGTGCAGAACAGAAGGAGGGACTGGAACAATGGCCCCCAGTCCACTGACAGTTTGGGAGCAGGTGTCAAAGGCACATTCAGGGGAGTGAGTAGTTATGGGTTTAAAGAAGACAGATGAACAGGCTCCCCCATCCCCAATCAGAGATCTCCCCCCTTTTCTTCCAGGCAGAGGCAAGCACTCTCATCCCTCCAAGCTGATTACTTAGGCATTTTCCTCCAAGTCTCTAACTAATACACTTCCGTTTTAGGCATTACTGGTTGATGTGCCAAGATGGATGAGTATAATTTATTTTTCTCTCACAGCCCCTCCCTCCCACCACATACAAGCACACTTCCCATCCTCCTGTTCTCCCACACTCCCAGCACAGATCAATATTCGGTGCTTATGTTATAATGACTATGATGCTATTCAGATCTGAATCACAAAGCTCCTTTCCTGCTCAACTTTTTGTTTACCCTGGAGCTAAAATATTTCTTGTTTTTAGTATGCTTACTTTTCTAAGTACTTATTTCTAATTCAATTCTAGACTCTCTGCCTGTTGTCTGAATCTCTTAATAATTTCATTCACATTGCGCAGTCGATCAGCTTCATCTTCTTGGTGAACTTCTCCTGGGGCGCTCCGACTTGCTGCAGTCTGGATTGGTGGTTGCCTGTGCCTGGTGCTCAGCTGTCATCCTCAGATGCCTCTTCACCCTCATGCTGGGAATTCCCTTCCTGTCAGTTCTCAAGTCTAGATTTCTTGTTCCCATATCTTCCTCTTTCTTTGATGGAACACAATTCTCTAGTAGCTTCCAGAGAGAGAGTCCATGGGAGGTAAATTTTGTAAGACTTTGTGTAAGTGAAAACGTGTTGATTCTTCTCTCACACTTGATTGATAGCTTGGCTGGGTATAGAATTTTAGGTTGGAAATAATTTTCTTTCAGAATTTCGAAAGCATTGTTCCATTGTCTTCTAGTTTCCAATGTGATTTTAAGATGTCCAAAGCCTATGTCCTCTTCCTCTTTCTCTGCAGGATTTTGTACAGGCTCAAGTCATGCTGGGTTTTCTGTCTGTTTAACATTTAACTGGGAGAGTTTAGTCACAGTGTCTAAGTCACAAAATCAACAATGAGTATCCTTTTGCTAAATCCAGTAGACTTCCTCTTAGTAATTTTCCATCCACTGACCTCCACCCTGCTCCTTGGCTATAAATTTTTACTTTTTCTTGTATGGGGACTTGAGCAAGCTCTTGCCCATCACAAAATCCCATTGTAGCACCCTTCCCTTTGAATAAAATCTGCCTTAACATCTTTAACAAGTGTCATGAATAATATTTTCTTTAACAGGACTACATGAGAGCTCAGAGAGAAGGGTTGAGGCTTAATTTCCCAATATGTCCAAAAGGTTAAATGTTCCTGGTTGATGGGCCAAAATGGGACTACAAAGAGAGGAGAAAAATGTCCCACCTCATCATTAGCTTAAACCTTTCAAGTTGAATGTTCTTACTTCAATTCCTGTTGTCACTTGTCCTTATAACAAACACACTGTTACAATTTGGCCCCATGACTCACTTTCTCATCAGGGCTCCCCTACTTCCCAGCTGAACCCTGCCACTGGCTTCCCCTGGGCATCAGTTTCCTCATACACAGACAATGCAGTGTCACCCTACCCACCCTGAAGTACTCTTGAGATATCAAAATGAAAGTGTTGTGTAGTTTTTAAATACCGTATAAACTTAGATGTTAATATGACCCCCAGGGACACATTTCTGTGGCTTTGCCAACCTAAAATACTAATCCTATCAGACTTTTACGATACATTCCTGAGGCTGCAGATTTTGACATTTTACATCTCTTAGAAAACATGCAAGTCACTGTTGTAAAGGAAAATGGTCGGGAGTGTTCTCTTGTTTGTACGTAAGCAGACTGATGAGATGGTGAAGGGTGGAGAGAGGAGTAGGATGGACAGAGAGAGTCTGCCCATGTTTCTATGGGATGTTATCAGGGTGGCAGTGGAGATTTGCACCCAGATTCAATCCATCTGAGCCCAGAATGGCTTTTTCTGTAATGGTTCACGAGGCTGGCTGTGTGTGACATGGGGTAGGGAGAGGGAGAAGGAATAAGTGGAACACGTAATTGGAAGGTCTGAGTATAGAGTGGCAGGTCCTTACTGTATCATATTTGTACGTCCCCATAGATCCTATTTAGAACAAGATGAAGTGTAAATCAATAGCTAAAGTTAATTCATAGCATGTCATGACTTGTGGCACATTATTAGAGCACATCCTCCAAATAAAATCTAACAAAAAAAGAAACAGAGACAGAGAAAGAGAGAGAAAAAGGATCTGAAATCCACCTGACAACTAGAATGATAAGCTTAAAAATAATTAGTAGATCCAATAAAAGCAACTCCATCCCAATTGACACATGTTGTGACACCATGTGAAGAGAGCTGTGCATCAGACATTGATCCTTACATGTTAACGTGAGCCCCTAAAGTAGACAGACACTATTTACTTTAACAGCTAGAACAGAAGAAACAACACAGAGGAGTAAAGTGAAAGCTGTGAAGGGCTGTGCAGGTAAGGCCGTGCTACCTGAGGGGCTGAGTGGATGCCACAGAGCAAGGGGTCATTGAGGCAGAGATGCAGCCTTGGACCAGCCCAAGCACCTGGAGTCCAACAACACAAAAGAAAACAAGGATCATAGAAGACAAATCTTAGAGAACCAACCTGCAAGAAATGGAAAAGCTGAAACAACAGTAAAACTCAGGCTCACACAATAACATCTGCTATTTAGGGGAAATGTTAAGAGAATGCCCTGATGTGCACTACCTTCCTGGGAAGTACCCACACATTTCAGAGGGAATAAGAATGAAAATTACTGCTACTTATTGAGCTCTGCTATGCCCTAGGCATTGGGCTGAGCATTTATATATATTTTTTCTTCACAGCTACTCCTTGAGGAGAGTACTATTGTCTTTATTTTATTGAAGGGGACACAGGCTTGCAGAAGTTGGGCAACATGCCTGGGTCACACACTAATAAGGCAGAGCCAGATTCAAACTTGCCTTTGGTCTACAATGTGCTCTTAATCAGTGTCATGGGCCAGTGATGACGAGTGAGGAGACCCAAGCACTTGTCCTGGATAACTCTGTGGCTTTGGGCCCCATTTTCCCTATCTATAAAATGACAGTGCAAGGCTGGATATATTTCACAGGCTGTTCTCATTCTAAGAGGCTGAGTTTTAAATCAATAACCTGTACTTTATAGGAGAGACATTTAAGTCAGAAAGCACATGTACAGTAAATGTGAATCATACTCATGGGCAAATTAAAAAAAGAAGGAGTTGCCATCATGGTAGCAGATGAAATTAATATGAAATTTAAAAGAGCACTGAGATACACATTAAGGTCATCATAAAAGGTAAGAGATATGCTGAATTATTAAAGCCTGGTAATGACACTGAATGCATATATCTCAAACAGCCACTAGGAAACTATACAATGGAAAACCTAGCAGAAACACAATTAGTACATAGAGATCTGTCTGTCTATCTATCTATTGTCTCTATATCTACCTAACCATCTATCTATCTATCTATCTATCTATCTATTTACCTATCTATCTACCATCTATTATCTATCTGTCCATATATCAAAGGGTACCAATAAGAAGTTATGAGAAAGAAATGGGAATGCTAATGAAATGAGGAGAGGAGAGAGAGAGGAATGAATGAGAATGGAGTTGGAAGTTCTGAATATAGAATGATGAGGGAAGAATTTATTGATACATTGTGTGAACCTAAAGGTAGGACACGATAATACACTGAAGCAAATAAATGAAAAAAAATAATCTTCCCATGAACATAAAAGGTATTTGGCAATTACAAAAAGGCAGAAAGTCCATATCATATTATCCCAACTACATGTAATAATCTTGAAAGAAAATAACATGAACAGAGTTAGAAAAATGCTCAGCCACTTGAAAATTTTGAAATACTCCCTTAAATAATTTCTGAGTTAGGGATGAATTCCTGCATACGATAAGAGAAAACACTTTTTAAAAATGAAAACCAAGCTCACTATAGTAAATAAAGAATCACTATAAATGTATTTTGACAGTATCCAACTTCTGTGTAATGAATAGACAGCTTACGGCCAGGAAAAAGAGACATGAAATCACATGAATGAGTGCACATCTTTTATGACTTAATGAAACACAAATTAACATTTGTTATGGTTTCATCACATGCCTATTAAACTAAAAAGCATAATAATAAAATCCAATGTCAGTAGGTTTTTTATGGTACCAGGCTCAGTTCTGGAGGGATGGAAAAGAAAATAATGAATCCCTGACCTCACAGAATCCAGTAATACCTAAATGGCTGAGGCAGCGGTAGCATACAAACATGGTGGGGTGTGTGTAAGCCTCCCTGAAAGTGCTTGCTAAGGTGTTCAAAGCAATCCCTGAGAGGCAGTTACTATACACGGTTAGTTTGTTAGTACGAAGACTAACAGAAATGCGTAACTAGAATAGCAGTGGGAGCTGTGTCTTCCTCACCCTCGTATCCCCAATACCTGGGGCACCCTGCGCCTGCCACATAGCAGGTCCTCAAAGAACATGTGTTGAATGAATGAAATGTGCATAGAGAATTACAGCCAAAAATTAAAACATAAGTCCTATATGATGTACTCTCTGGTTATACCCTTATACAAAGATATCCATGTTCATTTTAAAAGCTCAAAAGGAAGTTTGCAATGATCTAAGTATAGCATGTTTCCCTTCTCTGTCAAGGTACTTAGATTCATAATTTTTAAATTAAAAAAAGTTATTCACACATACTCATACCACCTCCCGTGTGTTCCTGCCCTATGTGTGCAATGTATTCCATTCTATTTTGGAGCATTATGGGTCTAGATTTATGCATCTAGATCAGTTGTTCTTGGGCCCGGCTGCACATTGGAGTCACCCAGAGCTTTATGCACTCGCCCTGCCTGGGCGCGCTCCTAGACAAGCCCGTTAACTTGTCTGAGGGTGATGCCTAGGCATCGCTGATTCCAATGTTCAGCCAGGACACAAAGGCCACCTAGGCAATAAAATTCTTTCATACACTTTATATTTTATTGCATAAAATGTGTTCAGTCATTCTCCAGAATAATCCTTTAAGCTGTCTTCATGGAATCCTGAGTTCAAAAATACCCAGCTAGTATCGTTAAGAAAAAGTACTTGACCAGGGTGGGTCATGCTGACAAATGCAATCAAGAGGCTGGGGTACCCCTGTTCCATCCCCACTCCTCCAAATTCTAGCATCCAGGACGGGCAGACTTAATAGCTTCTGACCTCTAGTAAGAGAGGGTTGGTGGAGGTTGACTTGTGAGGCCGTGTTCACCTTGAAGAGAGGACAAGCCAGGGAGGCGCTGCTAGAAGTTCTCACAGAGGCCAGAGTGAGACACCGACCAGGAGTGAGAGGGGCCTGGATGGGGGACACGCCCTGACAACTGACCTCTGTCCTCTCCTGTCCATGTGATCAAAAGGAGCCTGAAGGTGGAAGTCTGGGTCTGCTGTTCAGTTTGAAGACACAGAGGACTCTGGCAACCCAGACTCTAGGCTGTGCATCTCTTGTCAGTGGGGAACTCCACATGTGTGAGCTGTGCTTTGATCCTTGGTCCAGGGAAGATTCTCTGGGACTGGGGTAGACAATGGCACTCACTACCTGTGTTCACTGAGCTCTGTGCTGTCTCCAGACCTTTTCCCAGCACCTGACTCTCTCCTCCTGGGCTTGCCTCTCCAGGACTGGGGTTAGGTCTGCTTGTCTTTCCCCTCCCCACCTCTCCTACCTGTCCAAAGTGTAGCAGAGTTCATGGGTCTGACTTGGAGTTTGGCAGGAGTTCCCTGTAAACCGAAAACAACAGGGGTCATGTGTTGCCTGGAAACTGAGGTAGGATTTGGGATTAAAAGGCACCCATTGGGGCCAGTGACAGACTAGTACTAAATGATCTTATGGGTAACCACATCCTTTCCCCTCCTCCAGGCTGCCCATTCTCCAGGGAGGTACATTTGGTTTTGTGGCACCCTCCCTGGCCATGCTGTCCCTTCCTGCCTGGAAATGCCCCGAGTGGACACTCAATGCCAGCCAGGTAAACACCAGCTCTCCTGAATTCATCGAGGAATGGCAGAAGAGGATCCGAGAGGTAATGGGGCAGGGGAAGTGGGTGGGAGGAATGGAGGGGTACTCAACAGGGGCTCCCGAGTTGACTCATTTGTTCAACATGCGTTGTTCAGCTCACTGCTGGGCAAGATTCCAGGCTTTAAGATACTGCTGTAGGTAAGACAGACAAGGACCCTGCCCTCATGGAGCTAACACACTAGTGTGTGTATGTGGCAGGCAGAATGGGAGGGAGCGACAAATACCCCAATAAGTAAATAGAAAAGGAAAATTTCAGAGATCATGAGAACAATGAAGAAAATAAAAAAGGTGATGAGCAAGAGAGGGATTAAGGTGGAATGGATGGAGAGTGAAAATAGGTTTACTTGGAAATGCTTACATATTTCATACTTAGTCTATGACTCATCTTAATCTTACACAAAATTTCAAGCAACAGATCACATCCTAATACTCCAGCATCATAGTAGGAATTGGCTATTTTCACATTGTGAAATACTTGTCCATACAATACAGCCCAGTATACTCTGAGTCCAGTTTTATTAGACATGCTTTAGTTTGGTAGAATAAACTCTGGTGCTGGCATCTCTCATCCCAGACTGAAGATGTATCTAGAAATATTGCTAAGAAATCATTTTCTTATTTCCAACTTATTTTAAATGTAAAGGGCAAAGGAATGTTATTTGATACAGTATTTTGTCTTTCTGCCGCCATCCTTCTTTTTACCCACTGGGAGCCCTTCTTAGCCCATTCCCTTGCTTCTGTTGGAGAAAGAGATTTTGAGTCATTCTCTGCTATCCTTTAAATAGTGGGCAGCAAAAGTAACACTGTTAAACCCTCTTGTGTTTCCTTCCCCAAGGTACTTTGAAATGATTTAATAAGCATATTGTCACTGGATCCTCTCAATTGGTTAAGATGCACCCTGAAAACACTGCACTTTCCAATCCAGCAGTCAGTCACATCACACATAACTCGGACCACTGACTGGATTTAGACGTGCCTTACTTCTTCCAGCAAGGTCCTTCTATTGAAATGCTATACTCTTTCAGTCTCAGTCTTTCTCAGCTAGGTGAGCAGCACCTTTAGCAAGATTCCAACCTGTGCTTTTTGAACTCGAACTCAAAGACACACATAGTGGCATCCAAGTCTGTGTTGCTAGAGTTAGATTATCTTGTGAGGTGGTGTCCACCCCAGGGGAGAGGGGACTATTACTTGCTTATGGATCCTATGAACCCATCCTGGGTAAAACCTTTTCTTCTCCTGAATATAACTATTTCCCTTTAATCGCCCCTTCCTTGTTTGAATATTTTCCTGACATCAGTCAAAATGTGATTGGGATCTCTGACCTCAGTGTTATTTGGTGACACTCAGTAGTGGTCTAATTCTAAACAGCACCCGGTAGAAGACTAGTTAGCAATGGTCTTTCAGAGGGAGAGTGGTTGGGTAGCTGCTCCAAGCCACATCCACACCAAAAGCCCCATGGCACAGCTGAAGCATCTGGCTTCTATCGGGGTCAGTCCTCATTCAGCATGCACTCCACCACCAACATTTCCTATTCCTCAGGGAGCACTGACTTGTAAGATCACAGTAGACAGTCTGGGCCAGAACTTGTGACTCTCAGCCAACACCTTCTGCTGTTCTTCCCTCTCCAAAACAGCCCTTTACCCGTGCCTGTGCTCTGATATGCAGTCCAAAAGGGCACCCAGATGTGGGTGAACTTCAATAACCTCATCAAGTCCTTGTGCTTCTTTTTATCTCAGGGTGGACCCAGAGTTAACAGGGCTATTTTAAAGAACTTTTCCATGTAATTCCAGAGCAAGATATAGTTAAGAATTTCACTTCTCAGGGTGGTGGGCCCTGGATTTTTTCCAGGTTGACTGGTTAATCTCCCAATATTGTGGGCTGCACTACCTTTTCCAAATTAGGCTTTTTTTTTTTTTTCAGTGCAGCCTAGTTTTATTATTTCATCATAGAATGAATCACAGAACACATGTAGTTGGTGGAGGCGTTCTTTTGTTTTTGTTTTTTCTGTCCTTCAGGGATCCTATACTTGGCATTAGTAAATCCAGATTAAAACCAAGCAAAGAATGAGAAGCAGGGTTGCCTTACCCTGCCCTGCTAGATGCCAGGGGCGGGATTTCCCTTTCACTCAGCCTTCCTGAGAACTATAATTCCTTAGGCAAGAATCTCTTACCTTCATATTATCCAGGAAGACAGATCTGACAGGGAAATCCTTCTCTTCCCCCACCTGAGCACTTCCTTCCGCTGCTCAAATCCTCCCTGTGTTCTGATGAGGTGTCTGCCTCCACCACTGCAAGGGCACGAACCATCACCACATTCAGAAGCAGTTACCTGTGTTTTGAGGACAATGGGCAAGAGTTACGGGAAAGAATTCCCCTGGGCCTTGAACAGTATTAGTCATGAGAGAGCACGTTTAGGGATACGGGTCGTGCTGCGCCTGCATTGAGCACTGCATCCCAAGGGTCAGAGACACCATATTTTCTTTAATACATTTACTGTTTATTTTTGTGTCTGTGATACCCGGAGTCCTCTAAGGCAGAAATCAGAAAACTATGATTCTTGGACCAAATCCAGCCTGTGGTCTGTTTTTTCACTGCCCACAAACTAAGAATGGTTTTTACATTTTAAAAGGTTGTTTAAAAAAAGAATATGTGATAGAAACCACATGTGGCCCACAAAACCTGAAATATTTACTCTCTGGCCTTTCAGAGAAAAAGTTTGCCAACTCCTGCTCTAAGACACAGGGCCCAGGGAAGGGCTTCCTCCAGCCCAGGGCTCAGACAACAGTCTCGACTACTTTTTCCACATCACCTCCAAGTGTCCAACACAGTGAGCCCAAACCCGGAGTCTTCTCTGTGGTATTATAGCTCCCTCTGCTGGTCCAATGCTTTCTCCAGTGCTGTGACAGGAGAAAAAAGTTCTTATCAATTTCACCCTCATTTTATTAATTGACTGATTGGTTGGTTAAATTCACTGAGCTAGTCTATCAGAATTTAAGGTACATTCACCATATCTCGCTGAGTTATATAAGTCTACACACCTCTCAAGGCTTGAAACCACTGATGGTGGCAGGCCAATTGTCCATCACAATCCCAGCCACAGATGAAAGTGATGTGAACACAGGACCAATAGGAATGTCCTCACTTAACAGATACAAGAAGTAAAGGAGAGGTAAAAGTGAACAATGACTCTATTTTAAGGAAATGGTAGTAGCAGAAAAAGTAGAAAACCATGAGAAGAGATGGCAAGTTCAGTTTTCAACAGATTAGACCAATTTAAACTTCACCTTCTAGTATCATGGTAGTTTTTATTTATGTACTTATGTATACTTATATATAAGTGAAATAAATGACAGGAATGATACAAGTGATGAGAGGTAGAAATTAGAATTATTTTGTTATTGTAAGGTGCTCACACTACCTATGAAGTGGTATAGTGTTATTTGAAAGTGGACTTAGATTAGCTGTAAATGTATGTGGCAAACTCTAGGGAAACCACTGAAAAGTAAAAAAAAAAAAAGAAGTATAACTGGATAGAAAATGGGATCATACAAAATCCTCAATTAAAATCACAAAAGGCAGAAAAAGGGTGTAAGGTAGAAATAGGAACAAAGAACAAGGGTAACAAATAGAAAAGAGTAACTGATATCGTTGATATTAATCTGTTTCAATAGTCACTTTGAACATCAATGGTCTGAATGCATCAATTAAAAGGCAGAGATTGCCAGAGTGGATCAAAAAACAAGACCCAACCATATGTTGTCTACCAGAAACCCACTTTAACTAGAAAGACACACATGGATTAAAAGTAAAGGAATGGAGAAAGACATACCATGCTAACACAAATTGCAAGAAAGTGGGAGTCACTATGTTACTTTCAGAAAGAGCAGATTTAAAAGCAAAGAAGCTTTTCAGGGATAAAATAGAACGTATAACATCCAAACCAGTAAAGTAAAACAGGAGAAGTAAAGCAAATTCTATCAGTCCACGAGATCAGGGGCTGGCAGACTATAGTCCAGGAGCCAAATCTGGCCAGTTGCCTGTTTTGGTAGAGTCCACAAGCTAAAAATGGTTATATATGTATTTAAAGATTGGCACCTGAGCCAACATCGGTTGCCAATCTTCCTTTTTTTCCTTTTTACTCTTCTTCTTTTCCCCAAAGTCCCCCCAGGACATAGTTGTATATTCTAGTTGTGAGTGCCTCTGATTGTGCCATGTGGAACGCTGCCTCAACACGGCCTGATGAGAGGTGCCATGTCTGTGCCCAGGATCTGAACCAGCAAAACCCTGGCCTGCCGAAGTGGTGTGTGTGAACTTACCCACTTGGCCATGGGGTCAGCCCCAGTTTTGTATTTTAAATGGTTGAAAAAAATAAAATGAAGACTAGTATTTCATGAGATGTCAAAATTATATGAAATTCAAATTTCAGTGCCTTTAAATGAAGTTTTCTTGGAACAAAGCCAGGCTCATTTGTTTACTGCTCACCTGGAAAAGTTTTGATAGAGCCCATATGGCCCACAAAGCCTAAAATATTCATTATCTGGTCCTTTACAGAAAAAAAAAATGGCCAACTCCTGCAATAGAAAGTAGGAAAACAGAGAAAAATAAAGCAGCAAGATATTCGATACAGTGCTGAGTGATGCTCGTATTGAGTCATCATCATCATCACTGTGATCAATAAATAATTTTGAAGGCAACTCCCTGAAAAACTTCCCATTAAGTGAAAATGTCCAACAGCTCGTTGGAAATCCACAGCTGGAAGAGGAGCGAGATCAGAGCTCTTCTTTCCTCGGTTCCTTTGGGGTCCAGCTTTGCCCCTGCACTGCCTCTGAATGTACCACCTAGGGCTGACCAGATCTAGAAGTGGGCTGCAGCAGCTGGGCCTGTCATGGTGGCCTGGGCTCGACTGGGGCCTACAGTCCTGCTGCAAGCTGTGAGGGGCCTGAGCTGCACTCTTCCTCTTCAGTTGCAGGGTGCCATCATGGTCGCTTCCTGTGTCCAGATTCTAGTGGGCTTCTCAGGCCTCATTGGCCTTCTCATGCGCTTCATTGGCCCCTTGACCATTGCTCCGACCATCTCCCTGGTGGCCCTGCCTCTCTTCAGTTCTGCGGGCAATAATGCCGGGACCCACTGGGGGGTTGCTGCCGTGTAAGTACTGTCTGGGGAGGGAGTGGCATCAAGTTCTCTTTGGTGGAAGATTACCTGGGAAGAATAGTAAGAGTCCTGGCTGTTGGCAAACTCTTGTGCTTTAGAAATACTCTCATGAGCATTATGATACCTTAAAAAGCAGGAAAACTGCTATTTTAATTTATTACTTTTACTACTTATTACATTATTAGTACTCACAGATGGTGAGTTCATCTCAGGCAGTGTATAAGAACAATTAGTGCACTGTTCACAATTGTTGATACTACTGGTCCCCTGCCTCCTATATTTTCATTGAGCAAATGTTTGTGAACTTCTGGCCCCCAGGGAGGTTGCAAAGACATGGCCCCAGAACTCAAACATCTTGTAGTGTGTGGGAAAGAGACAAGACTGGAATCCACGTACCTATGACACCAGGAGACAGTGATGAGTCGTAGAATGACATGCACGTTCAGGGAGGGGGTGAGGACAGCCAGCTGGGAGGATCAGGAAGGCTTCCTGGAAAGAGGCCTGAAGCATTTAAATAGAGCTTTGAAGGGACTTGGGATGACACTGGACACTGTCATTCACTCTGCCTCTTGTGGTCTGACCACAAGGACCTGCAGAATGACCTGCAAGAGAAGGCCTTCTCTGCCTCTGGCCTCATTGGCCCCACCTGCTGGAGCCATTGAGCTGCCAACCCCCAGGGACTAACAGCCTCCCTTCCCACTCCTCCCACTCAGCCACCAGCAGATTCTGGCAGGCAACAGCCCACCCTTGCAGAGATGGCAGGATGCTGCCCGTGCTGCAGAGCAGGGTCTACATGAGGACCCTCCCAGCTTGGCCACGGCCCCCAATCCCAGAGACACACAGTGGCCCAGCTTTCAGGACCCTCACTCGGGATGAGCCTCAGCTCACCAGGCTGGGTGTGGTTTTTTCTGTTTCAGGACCATCTTCCTCATCGTGCTGTTTTCTCAGTACCTGAAAAATGTCGCAGTGCCCATGCCCATTTATGGACGAGAGAAGAAGCTTCACACCTCTAAGTTCTACCTGTTTCAGGTCTTCCCTGTAAGAAGCACTCCCCACCCCCTTTCATGCTGAGTTGACTCACCTGGAGAGTGAGGCACAGCCTCTTGCACTCCCAGATGGCCCCCAAAGCAACTGCCCCCCCATTTGCAGTGGCCTCTCCTCCTCAGCCTTCCTTAATCTACCAGAGAAGGAGAAGGAGGCCGAGTGGAGCCAAGTGTTCTGTGGGGGCCCTTTCTGACCGTTGGTGGAATGCTGTCCCATGTCTTTCCTCAATGCTTCTTTCCTGGGAGCAGAGAACACTGCCCTAGGTCGCTGCTCTGGGCTCCAGTGTGGGACAGCCTTCTCACATTCTCCAGGCCGTCCCCATAGCAAGGTGCCAGGGGACACAGCCAGGTTCACCGCTAATTACACAAAACTAAGGGCCAAGTTGCATTGATCAGGTTCTTTCTCGGTGGCTCATGGGTAATCCAAATACCCCTGGATGAGGATGGTACCTTTCTCAGAGCTTTCCCTGTTGAACCACACTGTCGATATGTGTAGCTGTCACCCACACAAGTATGTTTGCAGGTTTCATTTAACTGGAAACTACATTTGCATTGTAAAAAGATACTTCCACACAATCATCTCAATGCTCCTTCAACAACACTCTAGGCCAGTGGTTCTAAAATTCAATGTTCGTAAGAATCTCTTGGGGACATAATTAAAAATACACATTTCTGGGGTTCTGCCACCAGAGATTAAATATCAATATATCTGAGGATTCTACTTGAAGAAATCCTGTTTCAGGCTCTGCAGAGCAGTGGTTGTCATTCTGTTGTACGGATGAGGAAACCAAGGCTCAGAGTTTGATCCAAGGTCATGTGACCAACAATCAGTGGAAAGGGAGCCGGAGGGTAATCCTTCTGACCCAGGCTGTGCCCACTTTACCAGACATTTCTGTCTCTGTTTGACACAAGGTCTCCCCATAGTTTATTTGCTACGTTCCCTTAATGTGCTAATTATCCACTGACACACCAGATTGCTGTTGTCACTGGAAGGGTGAGTAACCCAACATGTCCTCATTTCAAAGAGGTTTCCTGAATTCCCTCCTTTGCCCCGCCCCCTGGGAGGTGGGTGCTGAGGCTGGAGTGAGACCCGTGGTGAAGGGTGGCTCCTTCGGCAGGTGCTGCTGTCGCTCTGCATCTCATGGCTCCTCTGCTTCGTGCTCACAGTCACCAATGCCCTCCCCAAGGACCCCACAGCCTATGGGTACCCGGCCCGCACCGACACCAAAGCCAACGTCCTCAGCCAGGCGCCTTGGTTTCGCTTTCCTTACCCAGGTAATGACAAGATGAGCCCCTTCCTGCCTGGTACACATGATTCCCAGGACTGTCCATGGGGCCCAGGGCATGGGATGGAGAGTGGAATAGGGCCGGGGCTGGGGGGATCTCCTCCAAGGGATCTTTCAAGGAGAGACAGGCCCTAGGGAGTCCATATCAGACACCTAAGAGAAGACCACCCTCAGATTATCCTAAGAATCCTTTAGGGGGTGCTAGGCCAAAGGATCCCACTCCTAGACCTACCTCTGAGCTGGCCTACATCCCTCATCCCTTCCTCCATGTTGCTCAGAACCCACAAGCCTGGGAGTGGAGAGAGGGCAGTGAGGTCCTGACCTCCTAGCCAGAACTTTGGCTCTCCTCTTGGATTCGGTGGATCCCCCACAAGGGAGGCCTTGGACTGAATTGGACATTTCTGAGGAGACAAGCTCAAGGCCATCCCTTAGGCCACTTCTGGTCTCCTTTCCCTGCAGTTCTTGGCTCAGGGTTTATAAATAACCAGGTCCCAGGCATGGCTGGCCCAGCCTCATGGCCTGTGGCCCTAGGGCCTCCCTGACAAAGAATCTTGTCTCCCAAATGCTTCAAGGCCTTTCTGGCAAGAGGCCCTGTTGCTGGCTCTTTCTGGGCACAATGACCTCATGGACAGGGCATCTGACCCTCCCTCAGGGATGAATGGTAGGGCAGGATCTGAGCCAAAGCCTCTGGAGAGCTGTGGGGTTGGAGGACATGCCTGGGCTTTAAAGCCTTTCAGAGACCTCTCTGTCAAAGAAATTATTTGGGGTTCAGCAGCCTGTTGTCTTGTGGATTAATATTCCCTCTGCATTGCCTTTCAGGACAGTGGGGCCTGCCCACCATCAGCCCGGCTGGGGTCTTTGGGATCATGGCAGGGGTGATCTCCTCGATGGTGGAGTCAGTAGGCGATTATTATGCCTGTGCCCGGCTGGTGGGGGCCCCACCCCCTCCGAAACACGCCATCAACCGTGGCATCGGCATTGAGGGCCTTGGCTGCCTGCTGGCAGGGGCCTGGGGGTCAGGGAACGGCACCACCTCATACAGCGAGAATGTCGGGGCTCTGGGGATCACCAAGGTAAGGCTGAGGACGGTGGCTCCTGGGGCAGGCTGGGCACCTGAATTGGTCATCAGTGTATTAGTCTCTCAGTACTGCTGTAACAAATTATCACAAACAGAGGTTTCAAAAACCCAAAGTTATTATTTTACTGATCTGGAGTTCAGAAGTGCAACATGGGTCTCACAGGGCTGTGTTCCTCTCTGGAAGCTCCAGGGGACAATCCATTTCCTTGCTTTTTCCATAATCTAGAAGCTTCCCACATTCCTTGGCTCAGGGCCCCCTTCTTCCATCTTCAAAACCAACAGTGTTGCATCTCTCTGACTCTTCTTCCATGGTCACATCTCCCTCTGATCACAGCCAGGAAAGATTCGCTGCTTATAAGGATTCCTGTAATTAGACTGTGCTCACCTAGATAATTCAGGATACTCTCTCCATCTCAAAATACTTAATCATAATTGCAAAGTCTTTTTGCCAAGCAAAGTAACATATTCACAGGTTAGGGATTAGGACATGGCATCTTTGAGGGGCCATTTCTCTGCCTACCACACTTGACCTTTGGTTGTGGCGATTCCACAGGCAGAAAGTCTATCCTGGCACTGGCAGACATCAGTGGCTTTATGAGCACTGCAGAAATCTTTACTTTCTGAAGTTTAGGTGGGAGGTGCCTTACCTCCTGCCCAACCCTGTGTCAAAGCTCCAAACCTGAATATTCAAAGACCACTTGGTCACCTCCACCTGAATATCCCAAGGGTAGCTCACATTTGATATGGCCTCTGTGATGCCCAGTACATGCCCCCATCCTTACTTCTCCTCCTGTCAAGCTTGTCTTAGTGAGTTCACTCCAGTCATCTGAACTTCTCGTTCTCCTGCATCCTTACTGTGGATTCTATTTTCTCAACATGCCTGCTGTCCTTCCTGTCCTCTATTCTCCATTCCCAGTGCCACAACTTTATCATCTCTTGTCTGTATACTCCCTAACAGTCTCTTTTCTAGGGATCTTGCCCATCCCTTATCCAGCTATGACATGGTTGCCCAAGGATCTTTCCAGAACTTAATTAGATTAGTCCCTGCTTAAAATCTCTTCATGGCTCCCCACTTTCCACAGGAAAACTCCATAAGGTCAGCAAGAAATCTTCAGGATGGTGCTCTCTAAGGTCACTTAGAAAAGAGTAATATTATGATGTTGCTTTCCACACGCTTCAGGCATCTTTGCAATGGTCTCCAGCAGAAGTCCTGTGGGCTTTGGAACATAGAGATTCCCCCACCCACGTCCCCAAGCCTGCATTTTCTGATAGCTCCCTCAGTGGTTCTGATATGCAGCCAGGTGGCATCTCATCTTCCTAGCAGCAGATCTGTCTACCTTTGTATTCTGCATGGCCTCTGGGCCACAGCCTGGGCTAAAATCTGTGAGCAAACAGCTGAGGCAGTGCCCACCTCTACAGCAAGTCCTGTGTGCTGTGACACTGCGGACTCTGGTACTTGGTCAAGGTTTCAAAACCTTTAGTGCAAGCGAGGGGAAAATTTTTCCACATGAGGGCCACTGACCCACACAGAAATATAGTTGACTAGGCTATATAACTATAGAGCAGCAAATATTCTTCCTGTTAAAGACAACAAATCTGATGCAGAACAGAAAATTATATTCAATAAACAGAACAAACGTTTCTTTGATGTATCATTTCTAAGCTAAGGCCTTTAGAGGAGAGGGAAAGAGCAGGAGAGAAAGCTACATAGACACAGAGCAAGCTGTGAATCCAGCAGGAGACAGATTAACCCTGGTCTGGACTCACACCTCCTCTTGTGGGTTTTCTTTTTTAAAGCTATGTTTTTCTGGCCAGGAAGATTGGCCTTAAGCTATCATCTGTTACCACTCTTCCTCTTTTTTGTTTTCTCCCCAAAGTCCCAGTACACAGTTGTATATCACAGTTGCAGGTCATTGTAATTCTTCTATGTGGGGCACCACCACAGCATGGCTTGATGATTGGTGTGTAGTTCTGCACCCAGGATCCAAACCAACAAACTCCAGGACACTGAAGTGGAGAGTGCAAACTTAACTCCTGAAGCACCGGACCGGCCTGTCCTTACGGCCTTTTAAGGTGTTGCTTTATGTTGCACCTGCATTGAAGAGCTCCGAGCAATTTTTAGTCCTCTGTGTGTGTGTGTGTGTTTGGGGAGGGCTGGGGGTGGAATCTCGCTGAAGGCAAGAGATCTCCCATCACTTCTCTAGGATGTTATGCTCCCATCTCAGATGCCAATCCTGAGGATAAAAAAACCCAGGGCTGCATGATAAATTCTGTGGCTGCAGGATTGGGGATGACTGCCATCTTGATGAGACAATCAGCATATCCACAGGGCGCTGGCTGAACTTGACAAATTAGTGTATTGTGCTTGGATCCATGCCCTTGTTCCCACAGTGCCTTGTTAGGGCTGTAAATAAAACAAAGCAAAAAGTTCTTCTGATGTGGTGAATTCTTACCACATCTCTTCTAATGAAGACATTACGTAAATAAGCTCTTAGATTAGAAAGAAAAATAAGCAGAGGCATAATCTGCTACTCTATTAGTACCTTCATGGACTTTAAGCAGTTGATATTAGAGCATTTTTTAGAAAAAATATTTTTAATTGTGGTCAAAGACAGATAACATAAAATTACCATCTTAATCTTTTTTTTTTTTTTTTGAGGAAGATTAGCCCTGAGCTAACTACTGCCAATCCTCCTCTGTTTGCTGAGGAAGCCTGGCCCTGAGCTAACATTGGTGTCTCTCATCCTCTACTTTATACGTGGGACACCTACCACAGCATGGCGTGCCAAGCAGTGCCATGTCCGCACCTGGGATCCGAACCGGCGAACCCCAGGCCGCTGAGAAGTGGAACGTGCGCACTTAACTGCTGCGCCACTGGGCCGGCCCCTGCCATCTTAATCATTTTTAAGTGTGCAGTTCAGTAGTGTTAAGTATAGTTACTTAATATACTATACTATATATTATAATAATATATAATAATATGCTCTACTATACACTTGTGCAACAGATCTGCAGAACTTTTCATCTTGCAAAACTGAAACTACATTTGAGCAACTTTTAAGGACTGAGAGTAGACAAAAAGGAAGAGAAAGGTTCAGGAACTATCTACATATATTCATTGACCACAGACTCATGATAGGATATTCAGATAGTTGCAGTACAGCTCTGACTTTTGATGATGATGACAAATGTCTCAAGGTCAGGAGTCGTTTTTGTTTCACTGGTAGTAGCTGTCACTCAAACCTCAGCTATAACCGTTGACAAGCACAATAATCAGTAATGTTCAGAAGTGTGATAGCTATGTGTACCTGCCACCAGGAGTCGATAGATATGGACCATGGCCCATGATCTAGAGTGTTTGTTTTGTTTTATTTCCACTAATTCCTTTTGTTCTTTTTACTGAAGTCATAATAGTTTATAACATTGTGTAATTTCAGTTGTAGGTTATTATTTGTCAGGCACCATATACATGCGCCCCTTTACCCCTTATGCCCAACCTCCAACCCTCTTCCCCTCTGGTAACCACTAATCTGTTCTCCTTGTCCATGTGTTTATCTTCCACATATGAGTGAAATCATGCAGTCTTTGTCTTTCTCTGTCTGGCTTATTTCACTTAACATAATACCCTTAAGGTCCATCCATGTTGTTGAAAATGGAACGATTTTATCTTTTTTATGGCTAAGTAGTATTCCATTGAATATATATATATACATATATATACACACACACACATATACATATATACCACATCTTCTTTATCTAGTTATCAGTTGATGGCACTTGGGTTGCTTTCATGTCTTGGCTATTGTGAATAATGCTGCAATGAACATAGGGGTGCTTAAGTCTCTTTGAATGGTTGATTTCAAGTTCTTTGGATAAATACCCAGTAGTGGGATAGCTGGGTCATATGGTATTTCTATTTTTAACTTCTTGAGAAATCTCGATACTGTTTTCCATAGTGGCTGCACCAGTTTGCATTCCCAGCAGCAGTGTATGGGGGTTCCCTTTTCTTCACACTCCAACATTTGTTGTTTTTTGTCTTGGTAATTATAGTCATTCTGACAGGTGATAAGGTGGTATCTCATTGTAGTTTTGATTTGCATTTCCCTAATGATTAGTAGCATTGAACATCTTTTCATGTGCCTCTTGGCTATCTGTATATCTTCTTTGGAGGAATGTCTCTCCATATACTCTGCCCATTTTTTGCTTGTTTGTTTTTATATTGTTCAGGTGTATGAGTTCTTTATATATTTCGGAAAATAAAGCCTGTTGGATGTACGATTTGCAAATATTTTCTCCCAGTTGGTGGGTGGTCTTTTCATTTTGTTGCTGGTACCTCTACTTTGCAGATGCTCTTTAGTCTGATGTAGTCCCATCTGTTTAGTTTTTCTATTGTTTCCCTTGCCCAGTCAGACATAGTACTTGAAAATATGCTGCTAAGACTGATGTCGAAGAGCATACTGCCTATGTTTTCTTCTAGAAGTTTAGTGGTTCCAGGTATTACATTCAATTCTTTAATACACTTTGAGTTAGTTTTTGTGTATGGTGTGAGATAATAATCTACTTTGACTCTTTTGCATGTGGCTGTCCAGTTTTCCTAACACCATTTATTGAAGAGACTTTCCTTTCTCCATTGTATGTTCTTGGCTCCCTTGTTGAAAATTAGCTATCCATAGATGCGTGGGTTTATTTCTGAGCTTTCAATCCTGTTCCATTGATCTGTGTGTCTGTTTCTGTACAAGTAGCATGCTGTTTCAATGACTGTAGTTTTGTGGTATATTTTGAAGTCCAGGATTATGGTGCCTCCAGCTTTGTTATTTTTTCTCAGGATTGCTTTAGATACTCAGGGTCTTTGTTGCCCCATACGAATTTTAGGATTCTTTGTTTTATTTCCGTGAAGAATATCATTGGGGTTCTGACTGGGATTGCATTGAATCTGTAGATTGCTTTAGATAGTATGGACACTTTTTTTTTTCTTTTTGAGGAAGATTAACC